CTATCTATCTATCTATCTATCTATCTATCTATCTATCTATCTATCTAATGTACGTACAGCATCATCAGACATGCTGGAAATATCTCACTTATTTGTTCGAGAACCGTATTGGTGCTCGGAACATTAGCAAGAAGCAGTGAGAACATCATTGCTTTTATGAACACAAGTCAAAAGAACAGCTGCTGATGTCGGTGACCTTTTCTGGTGAACAATTATAAATGTTTGTGGTCTTCTTCTACCATCTGTGGCCCATCAAGAAGTGCTGCTGCTGCCGCTGAGCAGACTGACTGGTTAAACTCCGCTCTGCCTCTTCTCTTAACCTTTGCATGAGACGGTTACGTTGAAATGAAACGAGAACTGCTCTGCTGAAATGTCAGACATTTATTTGACTGTTTTCCTCGTTTGCTAGTGCACCATAGGCAGCTTTGAAATAAACCTCATGGGAAGGCTAAACGGCAAATATGTTCACAAAATGTTGCAAAGAAACGACTCTCATCTGAAACCGCCTGAATCTCTGCTCCATTTAATACAACAGAGGTCAGGATCAGCCTGTGTGTGTGTGTGTGTGTGTGTGTGTGCGTGTGTGTGTGTGTGTCCATGCACTTAGTGTCCTCATTTTGATAATCGCCACATTTGACACAGTAAACCACAACCGGTGCTGTACACACACACACACACACTAGCTGTATCCTCATCCTTTACAAAAAAAAAAAAAAAGACACACAAATTCCCGGTGCCTCCATCTCTGCCTCTAACCCCCTCCTCCACCTCCTCTCCACAGTGAAATGAAGCAGGAGCTGGACGAGGAGGGCAGCCGCTGCCTCCTGCTCTCGCGGCAGACTTGCTTCAACCGGCGCTGCTGCATTCGCTGCTGCTCGCCCTTCACCTTCCTGCTCAACCCCAGGCGCCAGTGTCGGGACTGCAGCTACAACGTCTGCAAGGCCTGCCGGGTGTACAACAAGAGGGACAAAGCCTGGCTCTGCTCCGCCTGCCAAAAGAGCAGGTAAGGTGGGCGAGGTGACGGCGGGGGGGGGGGGGGGTGCAATGGTGGGCCTGCGTGCCCCAGGAGGCTCGCTCAAGCCTGGGGAAGCTCACAGTGACGCCAGAGGTTATTAAAGTCTCACTTTGTTGTGGTTGGAAATGTGATTTAGATCCCAGATTCAGTGCAGAGGAAAGCCTCCCATAACAGCACTGTGGTAACATCAGAATGTGAGGTAACATACAAAATATTATTTGACCGAGATTCTGAATGGAGCTTCTCTTTTTCATTAAATCTTTTCACTGTTCCGTCTGTGTATACTATATTTTCGTATGGTTTTTAGCCAAATCACTTATATTATATTATTTTAACCATTTTTGTGCTTTTCAGAATGTGTAAACTCGACTGGTTCCTAAATTCAGATTCATGAAGCATATATTTGTGCAAAATCAATTAATTGATTAAATTAAATTACATTACAACCTTGCATTTAGCATAATATCAGTTATTTGAAAATGCGTAAGCACAAGGTGGAAAATGAAAAAAGAAGAGACATGTTGCTTACTTTAAATAGTTGAAATATACAGTTCATCTTTAAGGAATGTCTTTCGTTATCTTAGTTCAGATTTGACTAACTAATTTGTGTGTGTATTTGTTGATTCAGTATGATTTATGTCATGTAGCATCTGATGGATGTTACCTCCAGTATGATGGTACAGCACCTCATCTCCATATAACTGTCTGTATAATTGAATGAATTTCTTACTTATTTTAGGACAAGCATGAGGGTTTTCACAAGATTAACACAAGTTTGAAGTTAGAAAATCTAACATCTGTGCCTTTCTCAGGTTGCTTAGGACACAGTCTCTGGAATGGTTCTACACAAACGTAAAGAAACGCTTCAAGAGATTTGGCAGTGCCAAAGTGCTGAAGACTCTGTACAGGAAGCACCTCGCGGAGCACAGTGCACTTTCAGAGCTAACAGGTAAGTTCTTGTAGATGCAGATGCTGTTGTAGATGCTATTGATAACTGATTTCTGTATTCAGCTAAGAATGTTTTTAATTTCATATCTTAAAGCTATGGACGCAGTATATGCTGTTACAATACAACCAAAAATGTGACTTTAATTCCATTTTAATTTAGTATTTTAGTACGCTGTTCATCAGAAGGGGTGCAATGACCAGCTATTTTGGGAAAGCCACATTTAATGTCTAGTCCCCTCCATTTTCTGTCACTCAAGATCCACTCCCGTATGGTGTTATAGTCAATGTCCACTTCTGCTTCTCGTTGCTCTGTCATTAGCAATACACATCATGTAAATCCAATTATGTTCATCCAATGACAAAGGAACTTATCACAGTTCGCAAAAAACGAGCAGCAATTTTTGCGCTATAAATTGCTAAATAATCCGCATACGGTCAGAGTGACTTTTGTCTCGTAGATTGTTTTGCTACTAAACATTGATTAAAAAGACTTTATCCAGGTCATTGAGCTTCACATATCAAATCTGTCCTTCCAATTTCACTCACCGCGTCCTTATTTTGCCATCGCAGTTTCACTTTTAGCCTTTCATATCCTGGCAGTGACAGTGGGAGAACAGCCTACAGTTGCTTATGTAACGGCAGCATTCAGTAGACCTTCAGAAAAGGTCTTTCGGGTCGGAGCCTCTCACAGCTTAACTCAGGCTTAGGGGGGAAGCGTTGCAGGAGGCAGCAGAACTGGAAATGTATTTGTTGTAGTGCACAAGGTTTTCAAGGTTGGGGATCCAGTCGGGGGACAAAGCCAAAGTGCTTCTCCAGACCATCGGTGGAGAGTTGGATGAGACTGATCAGAGAGGATTTCTGGGAATGATGCAGGTTTTGAGGTGGAGTGGTCGTCAGCTGCAGATTATGCAGAGCTGTGGCCCCTGTGGGGAGATTGATGTGGGCTGACATCACGGTGTCCTTCTTCAGGTGTTAGAAGAAGGACACATGTGCATTAACCTGCAAGGAAAACCTGCTGCATTTATTCAACTAAACTCTGGTCCACACTGTGTGACTCATAAAAAGTCTATCCGATAGCAGCATTGTCAGCAGAGCCGGATGTTTGAGTGGGTTTTTATTTCTCTCCCTGTTATGTCTAACTAAAATATAGATCATTTTTACAATCCCAATAGAGGCATATAGTATTTAAAGTGTTTGACCTGAGGTTTTTATTCCCTATTTTAGTTCATTTTGTGCCTTTGCAACACTAACTGAAGCTGAACCTATGTGGATAGGATAGTGACATTTGGGAATAATGATATTTTAATGCATCCATCAACACAAGACAAACAGAATAAGACGTCATAATGACATGAGACCAAACACATGCAGAGGGCTACAAATGAAACACTGCTGGTTATTTCTCACTGACTAAAAACGAGCTGGCAATAGGAATTATTCTTGATGAATGCATTGACTCTTCCAGTGTATTGTTCATAATAGTTCAGTTCTGAAAGGTTGAACGACTGGTTGAAGTATCTTTTAAAGCTTTAATTTAGATTTTTGCACCTCAGTCTGTATGTTTTCCATTTTGAGTAAAATATTCAAATGTAGACATACACTTTTGAAAAAGTCTTCATAATATGAAATGTTACACACTTCCTAATGAGTACTTGTCGAGCTGACATGTGGCAACTGTGTAATTTGGTATAATTTGGCGTTAGCTCAGTGATTAAGAGATGTTCAGATGTAGTATAGTTCCCTTTGGTGTGGACTGTAACCTCTTTAAAAAGATGTGGTCGTAGCCTGTGGGTCTAAAGTCACCTTCAGTGCCGCGTTGGTCATAAGTCTTTTCCATTTCATCAGATTCAATCCTCAGTGCTGGTCTCTGCTCACATATTTGTAAAGACTCAAACACAATCCTTGCTCCCACCATTTAAATGCAAACAAATTAAATCCCAAGTTCGTAAACATTAAGGTTAAGGGCTCACAGCATTTTTCAAAAATACACACAGTTAATGCCACTCGGTTTAAGAGTCCCATAAAATCATCTGAAGTGACCCTGTGTACTACTTTGCAGTTTGGAATTGGGTTCTGCTGCACACAGCTCGGGTCTCCTGTAATGCCACACACGCGGCCGCTCTAATGCACTTGCATAACCACAAACGGCTGCATTGTTGTGGGAGTATTAACATGATGTGAGAAGAGCTCAAAGGTGGAGGGGGAACTTTCTGAGATGTGTTGGAGAATGACCTCACCCTCACAGTATGGGATGCATCTTTGTAAAGACTTAACTTTACAAATGAAACATGTCGTTTGACATAGCTCCATTCCGCTGATATTTCAGACTGCATTTGCACTTTAAAAGTGAACGAACGAAAAATAAACGTCCTTTGTCAATGCTGTATCCTCCATCTAATTGAAAGGTTTACCCTAATCCGTTTTCAGGAAGCAGATTTAAATCCCTGTCCATGGCCTGTATTTGTCTTTTTCACATACATGTCGACGTCTACATTTGCAGAGGGCAGCGCCTGTGATGAGAGCATCTGCAATGATGGCAGCATCTGTGGGAGTGATTCCACTTTCTACAGACAAACTGAAGGTGCAGACACACACATGCACACACACACAGAATACATTGACACTCGCACCTACCATTGCCGTTACAATTGTTCAGAAAGGTTACAACACTTTGAGCACACCAAGGAACTCTGAACGACATGTTGATGTGAAAAAGAGTTTTATTATGGAAAGAGTTTTCAAGAACTATCTTCAAAAAATTTTTTTTTTTCAGAAACTGCCCTTGTTGTACCCTTGCAGTTCATTGTTGCAGTAAATTCACTGGAGTTTATCCACTTCAAGGTTATTTATGGGGCACTATGTATGTAATCCCCTAATGTATCCAGAGAGTCATTTGTTCCCAGCTTACATGAATGCCAGTCTTTGCAGAAGATGTGGGCAAATAAATTATTTCATGATGCGTTTTTTTAATCTTTGGGCTCAGACTGTCCGTAGCACTTGTTTCAGTTTGCCTTTTGAGTCCCTCTTTATCCTCACTGCTCCTCACTCTCCCAGTTCAATGCACTAATGGGAGGAGGCAAAAGCTGCCCTGACCCGGTGGTGCAGAGCCTCAGAAACAGAGATGAGAGGGAAAACGAATAAAGTGAAGAGGATCTCACTTATTTTCTGTGCATGTAACAAGATGGTGGGCTGCTCACTGCTTTTATCTGAATTGTAGGGCCAGCACTGATGAATAACAGTCACTCCTGTGTTTGCGTTTTAGAGCACAGCATGGCAGAGACTCTCAGTGTGGCGATGCGGGTGGCAGAGGAGGCCATAGATGAGGCCATTTCAAAAGCTGAGACTGACACCTCCAATCAGGTTATTTGTGTGTTCCATGTCATGTACACAGCCCGTTATGCCTGATTTATCATGATAACTGAGTTATCATTTGAACGAACACCATTGTGTGGAAGTTAATGCATATTATGTTATTGTGTGATCTATAATCTATAATCTTTAATCTCACGTGTCTGCCCTTAATCTGAATCAGTTTCTGATCATATTATGTAAGAACATCAAAGTTATGAGACAGATTTCAATACTGATTTTTTCTGGTCCTGCAGTCTCTTTCTGACAGTTTCAGAAAAAATCCCAGTCAACAATTTATCCAAGTGTTTCACAGCCTTTCAACACAGAAACATGTATATTTAGAGTGTATATTTCACCTTACAGCATGTATTTGTATGGCACTGAATAGCACTCTAATTCTTTGTGTTGTGTTTTCCCAGGAGAAGCAGAATGAGGCACACTATCTGCGGGAGCACAGAGGAGAGCTCATCGAGGAACTGGCCAAAACTATTGTGCAAAAAGTAAAAGCAGACTCAAAATGCATCATTGGACGTGTACATTTAAAAAGTGTTAATTCAACCATCTTAAGGGGACATAAAATTAATATTGCCTGCACATAATAAAAAAAAAAAACTCCTTTGCTCTGCTGTGTGCTGATTAAAGCTGTGTGGATAGCTCAACCTGATCTTGTCGTGTGTTAGATCATAAGCAGGAGAAAGGCTTTGGCTGAGATGAGGGCAGAATATGACCAGGAATGGCCCCTTGAGTGCAACACTGACCCTCCTCATCAATCTACCTGTGATCAGACCACCAGCCCCCTGAAATCGCAGGCAAACCTCTGGGTAAGAAGATGTCATTATGGCAACCTCTAATTTCCCACAGAAATTATGTTCAGCGCTGGATCACTTTTTGAAATGTGTGCTGTTCGGTTAAGTCTCTTTCCTGTTTTGATCACTGTGGCAGCATGCCGCTCAGGGCTGAAGTCTGTATGGTTACTGTACTTACATTTGTTTCTTCTTAAAGTTACATGGAAGACCGACTTGCAGGCAAACGATATGGATCCCCAAATCATTTGAAAGATGCCCGGTCTAAAAACTGAAATTGCAAATGTAACAGCACTAAGGCTCTGCAGTAGTTTTTTTTACAATGCAGTTTCCAGGCAATTCTGAACAACTGTATTAACGAAAGGAATTTGACTTTTTAAATCCGTGGTTCTGTTTGCGCCCTTATAGATGTGAATGGGCATTGTTTAATCAGTGGACCAGTGAGCGTTGATTCTGCTGACCTCTGTTGGTCAAACGGTCACTGCTCACTCCATTGGTAACTCCAGTGTGACCACTGAGGATAAAAATATTCTCGGTCTTTGAAGAAAGTTGTGTGTCTGCTCTCAGAGATCCCACTCAGCCTTTACACTTCTGGACAGTGACTCCCCTGCTCTGATTCAAGACTCTACCGTGGCCATGAAGAAGGAGGCCAGCAGTTTAGCTGTGACTGCTTGGAAGAGTGTAGACCGGCTGGACAACTCTGGTAAGATTCGGTTACTATCATATGTGAATATTGTATGGTGTGTTTGGTATTTAGTTTCTTGTTAGTTTAACTTATTTTAATTGGATCTGTCGCCATTAGAGAAGCCTATGCATGTTTGGTCATCATCATCAGCATACTTTATTTTGTTGGGTTTAATTTAAAAGACCATGTGTCTTTGATTAAGAAAATATACAGTTAACGGTCACAATATTTCACTACTTACAAAGCATCTTATAAGTCTGAAATGCAGCAGAAACCTGCTGATTTTCTGTGGTTCAAACTAAGCACCAGGAAGCTGAGACAAACCCAAGTATTTCATAAGCCGATTCTATGTATCTGTGAATGGTTCAGTGCGTGAAAATTCCGGTGCATTTTTATTCCGTCGATTCCTGCGATGAATACAATGATTCCGTAAACTAAAAGAGACGCTTGTTCCAAATTTGAAATATTATTATCCTGAAATTCGTTATTGATAATGTGAAGTTTAGAGTTCATGAAGTCATACTGAGAGTGATAATAAGGGATCACGAATAAATGGGCTGTACCGATGCCTCCCAGGTCTGATGGGTCAGCTAATACCTGCCTCCACTGCGTTTGTTTGTGTAGCTACGTGTGTGATTCTTTGGCCCATTGTCAGTGCGTATCTGCGTGATACCTGTATGTGTGTGTGTGCGTACACGCTCTGATGCAGAGGTGTGTCCTCAGTGCTGAAGAGCCCAGACGGGAACTGGATCGCCCTGCAGAGCACCCAGCTGTCTCGGCCCAGCTTCCTGGGTAAAAGGAAGAGCCTGGTGTACAGTGCCTTGGAGAGGGAGTCTGGTGTTGTGTCGGCCTACGAGGGCCTAGGCTCCGACAACGAAACCAAACCGGAGCCCGACAGCTCCTGGGGAGCGGTCCTGCAAGAGATCCACAGGAAGATGATGGACTCAAATATCAACCTGCACGACTTTGGTGCCGGCGTGTCGCCGCTCGAGGGCCACCAAGGCAGCAGAGACAATCTGTTTTCAGACTCTGAGGGGAACTGGAAGCCTAACAAACCTCTGCTGGCTCTTCTGAAGCGGAAGGTACCCGCAGAGATCAGGAAGCCTTCGTCGTCCCGCAGGACCAGCATTATTGACATGAACTTCAACCTGAAAGAAGCGGGAGAGGAGGAGGAGGAGGAAATCAAGGTGGCTGCTGAGACAGACACGGCAACGGGAAGAAACAGGAAATTACGAAAGAAGAAGAGTAAAAATGACCCGTTGTCTTCTTCTGTGTCGGTAAGTGGGAAACCTTCTTCAATCCCCCATTCAGTAGGGGAATTATGTTTTCATTCCCTTACAGGATGGTTGAGATGATCATCTATTTTATAATTTTTTCTGTGTGTCACAAAATCATGAATTTAATACATTTCTGGGTGGCTGGTTGCTATGTCTTTTTGTTCAGTTGTCTCAAGTGTTGTTAATGATGGAACAGAAACCTGTGAATGACCAAAGACATGCAAAGATAACTGAGTTCTGAATCAAGTACCTGCAGGAGGAAAAATAATCAAACGTTTTTTATGTGTGTGTATTCTAACACTTGCAGGATTTAAACACAAAGGAGAATTATTCTCCTCATCCCTCATGCTCCGTGACCCCTGATACGCTTACCTCTGGAGGCTCAACCCCTGAACCTTTCGACCCCATTGGTGACATCACTGGCAATAGAGCCAATCGGATGGAAGAGGACTATGCTTTAAAACTACATAAACTTTCCCAAGAGTCCAGCACAAGAGAAGGAGGGCTCGACGAAAGAAGATATGCTGGTTTTGAGGACCACTGGGAGAAAAGCAGACAAGGATATGAGGACGGAGGTGATGGAGATGAGAGGCAGTGCGAGATGCAGGTAGATTTGGAAGGAGGAATAACAAAGGATGAAGAAGAGGATGACAAAAATGACGAGATGAAGTACAGACTGTACAGGCTTGTGGCACAGTCCAGTCTCACATACTTCTCATCTACTGAAGATGAACTGGACAAAGCGGGACGGAGCGAAGGAGAGCTGGACATAGACGGAGATGAAGACATGGAGGAAGAAGACGACAAGCTGGAGAAACGAACAGAGCCGCTCAGTTATAGACTTTGTCGGCTGGAGAAGGAGGTCAGAGCGACACAGTTCTCGTCCACTGAGGACGAGCTGGACCGAATCGGAGTTGAGGAGGAGGAGGATGGCTATAAAGAGGGTCTGGCTGTGAAAGTCTGCAGATTAGCTAACCAGGCCAGTGCCACTCAGTTTTCATCCACGGAGGATGAGCTGGACAGAGTGGGAAGAGGAGAGGATGGAGAGGGGGGCACTGATGAAGATATGCTGTGGAAGCTGCCGCCGGAGAAAGCTCAGCTACGGGATTTGGCCAGTTTAGTGAGCGCCTCCCAGTTTTCATCCACTGAGGATGAGCTGGACAGAGTTGGAGAAAACGAGGCAAATGAAAGGGGGAGGAGGAGCAGCCGTTTGATGGAGGAGCTGTGGGAGGGAGCAGGATCCATGGGCAACGTAGACGGGACAACGTTTCATTTGAGGGATGACAATGTGAAAAGAAACAAAGACAGGAGTGTGGAAAAAGTCCCAAGTGGGAATGTTTTGGAGAGTCAAAAAAAAGTTGAGAATGTTGAGCATAATGTAGAGGAAAATAGGGTTTTTAAAGACATGAGAGGAAAAAGACATGTAATGAGAGCAAAAGGGCAATTATGTGATGAAAATCTAAGAACTGGGAAAGATGAGAAAGAAGAGCCAGAAGAAAGACAAGGGATGCAGTTCAAAACAGGGAGGGAAGCTGATGGAATAAAGATGATAAGAACCTTACATGATACAAAAGAGTTTGAGCCAGGGGCAAGCAGGCCAGATGAAAGAGAAGGGGAGTTTCAGAGTGTGAGTACAGGGACTCATAAAAAATGGGAAAGGGCAGCAGACAGCGACGAGGAGGACTCAGAATTTGACCGAATAATCAGCGGCATGTTGATGTTTACTCTGGATGACATGCAATTGGAAACAAAGGACAAATCTGAAGATGACAAAGGGAGACGCAAAGAATTTGAAAATGAGCAAAAGTTAGAGAGAGGATCCCGAGAGGGCGCGGTTGATCCACAAATCACAGAATATCGAGAGGAAACGATGAACATATGCAGTAGTCACGAAATTGGAGGAGATGTTTCAGGGAAACAGAGAAGTGGATCTCTGCGGGATGTAAGAGGTGCAGTAATGACAACCAAAGAGGCATTTAAGACAAATGAGAGCCAGCAGACATGTCCAAAATCTGGAGTGAATGACGATGAGCAGAAACAGGAAGGAAGAGGAATCGTGAATCACGAGGAGTGGAAACGAGTCAAGACTCGGGGGGATTCTGCAGACTTTGACAAGAAGGATGTGGATGAAAAGCACGAGGAAACAGAAGACCAAAAAGTGGATGATGTGGAGCTGAGCAGCGCATCTGCTCCTGAGGAGGGTTTTCTGTCACCAGGAGAGATTCAGAATGTAAGTGACCCAGCTTCAGAAGCCTGTTTCCATTTTCCACTGACAAGAGTTTGCATCAGCACCAACATCTGCTAAATTTCAGCAGAGGTTGAAAAAATCTTGTTTTATCACACTTAAGGCTAACATCTCTTTTGGCAGTATCGCTGCTGAATTAGGATGAAATAAAACTTCAGGCTGCAGCTCCAGAGCTGAGCGGAACAATTGGTCTCAGATCTGATGAACGCTCCATCAAAATGCTTCTTTTCAACACAACTAACCTCTTGCTCTTGCTTTTTCCTCTGTGTGTGCTATGTGACCTTTAGGGTAGAAACATGGAGATTTACAAAACTGTAGATTTAATAACATCTCGGTTACAGCAGGTGAGGTTGAACTTATTTCCTTATAAGTTCAATTTCCATAGCTTCAGTAACTGCTTGCTTTTTTAATTAATTTGTTTGTTGTTTACTAATGTTTATGTTTAATGTTTTAATTACTAATGAATCTAATTGCTAATTTAATTACTAGTTTACTAGTATTACCAGTTATTATTAGTAATACCAGTAATACTAATGTAACATTTTTCATTTTTAAGGACAGAAAATAAGTATTTTCCTCTTGAAATGAATTTAAAAACATGCCTTAATCGCCGCAGTGCAATTGAAAACCTAGATATTCTAAACTCATAAGGAAGCTTTAAATGTCCATAGAAAAGGATAGAGATTGTACTTATTTAGACACGCCCACATGTTCAGAAACCTTACCTTTTTTCATGTATCAACAGAATTTTGGTACTCAAATCGAATAGAGGTGTGAAGTTATACATTTCTGCATGTTAAGTCAATGCTGCCAGTCCTGCATAGTTAGTTAATTAATGTTAAGGGGAAGAAATCAATCTTTTTTTAAACTAAGATCATAATCTGAGGATAATCCTCACCAAAAAAAGAACCAGATTTCTGTTTTGTGTTCTGTAGAGATATTCGGCAGTGTCTCTACGTAGCATCACCACTGAGGTGTTAAAGGTGCTGAACGCCACTGAGGAGCTGCTGCAAGGAGCAGAGGGAGGAGACGGCGCTCAGCCCTCCATCCAGCCACTTCCCTCCAGCTTGAACCACAAAAAACTGGATCAACAGTTCTGCAGACTTGAGGAAAACGTGAGTTACATTTTCACTGGACACATCCCAGTCAGAGTGCTTATTACTACTTGTATTTAATCTTACTCTACCTGCAAAGCCAAAACCTTATATATTATCAAAATATCTGTTGTTGGAAAAAAGAGCAGTAAAATTTCCATCTTTATCCCCAGACATCTAAGTTAATCTCAGTGGCCAAGCTAAAATCTTTTATCAGACCAATTCTGGATTTACTGGCACAGCAAACTGTGAAACTGTCTGCCTTTGACCTTTGAGCCATTAAAGAAATATTAACATTAAAGTTACTATTTAATTTGAACTAATAATTGAAAACAGCATTAAATGTGTGTGGTGTGATTGTGACTGTCGTAAGTAAATTTAGTTTAAATCTGCCTTTTTCCGCAGGTGTATGTGGCAGCTGGCTCGGCGTACGGTCTGGAGGCGGAGCTTAACGACCTGGAGGAGTGTGCCAGGGGCATCAGCAGCTCCACGTCCAACCTGGAGCTGTCCTTCCTGGAGGAGCAGGTGGCAGCCGCAGCCGCCAAAGTTCATCAGTCTGAGCTACAGGTGAGCTGGACATGCGGTAAAATGGGGGCTAACATAACGGCTGCTGATTATCTTTGGGTCTAGATTGTGAGTCGAGCTTTTAGTCTACAAAAATAAAGGACATTTTAAGAAAAACTATGAACTGATTTAAAAAAAAACAACCAACTGATGCATCTATGTTGCCGTGGAGGTTTCTTTTCATCTCGTTTTTGAGGACATTTACATTTTTGTGTTCCGGCTATAGATCTGCGACATCTCGGCCAGAATTGCTGCTTTGAAGAGTGCTGGTCTGAATGTGGACCCTCAGTCTCGCTTCGCTAAGACCAGAACCTCCCCGGATATGGTACAGTTTCAGAGCACATTAATGCAGAGAAACTATGAGAGCAGGGTGCTGCCCTTTGAATGAAAGCAAGTCTTGTATTTTTCCACATGCACCTTCTTGCAGCCTGTGACGCTGGACTCCTCAAGACAGCACAGAAGAAAATTACCCGCTCCACCTGTCAAAGGTAGCTGTACATTTAGCAATTTGTCTGACTGTAGACCAACTTTTAGGAAGGATAAACTGAAAGATTCACCATGTACTTTCATCAGTTTTACTTGCTACGGTTAGAACATTTTCCAATTGCATTGTGGGTCACTACAGTCTATCTCCACAGTATAGCTTAAATTAACTTTATTTCTGTTCCATAATTGGTATATTACAAACATATTTTCAAAAATGTAAATCCCTGTCATATTGTCAAAAGTCCTTTGAATTGGTTTTTGCATGTAAAAGTTGTCTACAAAACTTTGTTTTATTGACTGGACAAAAAAACACATTGACTTCAAATCTGGTTGCAGATGTCCTTCATTATAGTTTTCAAATCTGTGGTGTCGGGGGAAGAATAGCTAAAATGAAAGTAGTGAAAAGAGTATGTATCATTTTTTGGTGACGAGTTAATGCCTGCTTTTTCGTGTTTTATTCCTAGAAGAAAAGGAAACGTGACGTGACAGGCCTTCCAGCGGTGCCTTGGCCCCAGCTCTCTGTAGTCTACAGGCCAGTCTGAAAGGATCCATTCACACTCCACGTGCCTTAATGAGACTTTAAACATGACTCAAGCAATGTGAAACACAAACACTATTTAATGTCTGATTACAGTAATTGACTGAGAGGTACTCAGTAGATACATCCTCTGAGTTTTCAGATTAAAAGTTGGTGAAAATTGATCAGATATTATCAATCTGATTAAAACCAGAAACATTTTATCTTGCAGTACATAAGATGATAACATGATTACATCACATAACAAATGTGGGAAACATGCTGGTTGGAATCAGAATACATTTGATGGATTTTATTTTACCATTGTCCATTTAAACTAAAATAATTCTGTATAAAAATCACTGAAAAAACAGCAGCAGGAACAGCTATCAGGTAAAACCTCCAACACACACTGTGTATCCCCAGATATCAAATATAAACCAGCCATAACATTATGACCAGTTGCTTAATAAGACCATTTTGTGCCTCCAATATTTGCTCTTACGAGTCACATGTGTCCAGAACTTTTGGCTTCTGGGATGTAAGGGCCATAAATCCTTTGTGCCGTTTGGTTTTTGTGGAAATCGAGGCCAATCCACACACCTGGGTAAACACTTCTGACTTGTTGAGTCCTTCCTAACTGTGCTAACTGTTAAACCTGAGATGTAGGCTTTCCCAGCAGAACATTGCATTTTAACAAGATGAGCAGTTTTTCTTACTTAATCTGCCAGTGGTTCTAATGGTGTTGCTGACTGGATTACAGGGTATGCTGTTGAGCTATTGTAGCATGTTAGAAACATTATACAAATCTGTACTGTGTTTAAAATGACAGGAAAATAAAATTTTCCACAGTTATGTGTCTGTTTTAGTCTACATTTAGTACAGAATTGCAATCAGTAAATATCTGCCTTCAAAGCTGAGAACATAAAGAAAGTTATACACACCTGCCGCGGTGTGGAAACGAACACTGTGAGATAAACAGGACTAAAAAACACTGCACAACCTGTTGCCTGACATATGCAGCCGGGTGTGATGGTGAGGAATTTAGTCTGTATTTTTGAGAGGAGGAAATGACACCTGACTTCGACATTCCTCTTTGTGAAGAAGGTGTGGGAGGGACAGTCCTGAAAAATAGAGCACATCCGTGAGAGAAACGGCTTGAAAACACTCAGCAGCATCACCTCGTGCTCTCTTTGACCCTCCGGTAAACACAATGAATGACCTGAGTAGAATAAATAAGGCAATTTTTCCCTTTATGTGAGATCTCTTTATCTGACCAAAAAGAGGTGCATTAAATAACCTGGTACAACTTCTGAGGTTTCTTTTTGTGTATCTTAAACAGTTCTTAAAGTGAACTTGTGCATCAAATAAAGAAAGCAAAACAGAGCAGAATTCATAAAGCCAGTTGTATCCCAAAGACTCATGGGATATGCAGTTTTGGTCAAGAGCTCTCAGGAGACAATAAAGCGTTCTCTCTGATCAGGAACTATGAACCCTTCTTTCTGTTCGCTCTCTCTTCTGTCCGACATGACAAAAGACTGTTTGAGGTCGATGACCACTGTGTCATCTCGGTCCTGACCAGGAGTCTCCACTTCAGCGTACGAGGGCCGACTGGAGCCTCGTCTGAACTTTAGGATTGGCCAGTGAGTGGGGCGTCGCTGTGGAGTGTTAAGAGAGCTCATTAGGATGCCGTGTGAAGAAGACGTAACTATACAATGGAGATGAGTTGTTTACTTTCTGAGATGCAACAGTACCCAAAACCTGTCTTAAGGCTTACAGAGTCAGTTGAGTTTTTCAGCTTGATTTTTTTTGTTTTTTGTTTTTTGCTCTTATTTTTCATGTATATTGATGTTTAGATTTAAGTTAGGTCCATTTCTTATTCTTCTCAGTTTTCCAACAATTGTGTGTTTCAAACTGGATTCTGAAGTCTGTTTAGAATGTGTATACCATCACAGAGGCAGTTCTCATTCATTAAACTTTTGCTATTTAGGACAGAGTTTATTGAGTGAAGAATAAAAGCAGAGCGCTTGAATTAACTCTATTTACAACTTGATTCCTCGCAATTCTGAAAATGTTCTACTATGTTTTAGCAGTGTTTTCAAGTATCTATGTTTGGATTTTGAATCTAGTAGGGAAGCTTATTATGGAGCCACTTTCAGTTGTAACGTTACACTCACCTCTATGAAGAAGATGCTGGCGCTTGATGTGGGATGACTGTACATGTAAATAGACATAAGGACGGCTGCAGCCATTATAACCATCACCATTATGATGCCCACAAGGAGACCAATCGGCAGCCCCTGCTCACGCTCCCCTCTGCTCTCCTCGTTTCCCGCTGTACAAAGGTGAGACTGAAATTACTGCTGAACTCGTTGAATCAGCCCAGTATTTCATGCCGTTGCCATATGAAAATATGAAAATGTGATTGAAAATGTTTCTATCTACATTTCTATCTGCATTTTAACCACAGTTTTAAACAAAGTGTCATCAACTGGAGGTAAAAAGCAAAATGAGTGTATTTGAACAACTTACGAGCGTCATTTATGTGGAAAGCGATGGCTGCATCATCTAAGAAACAAAAAAACACACTTTTAGTCAACATTTTGATTGAGATTTTAGCTCCTTGAGGCACAATAATTCACCACACTCTTGAATTGCTAAAACATCAAGAAAAATTCAAAGAGGAAAATGTGTTACCGAGACCCCTGTTTCAAAAAATGATTTTGTAATCTTTCCAGCTTCCCGACAAAGACTGTTACAGCCCCAAAACGGCTCCTGATTCCCTGCTATGACCGGAATGATGCACATACGTCAGGTCGTCCTGTGGCGGTTGAGGACACTATGCAGTATTTGACATGGCGCTGTATATGCTCAGCAGTGAGCTCACAGAACTCTGGGAAATAGCTGACCACTTGACCCTCATACAGTCAGACCCCACTGAGCACAGTAGACATGGCCTCTGCGCCACAACAGCAAACATCTCTTCATGAGGTAATGATCCCTGCCTAGAGCTAGGATTTGGACTGAAACGTGACCTCACGCGAAGTAAGATGAAAATCAACATTACTCTCAGACATGAGCATTTAATGAATTATAATCACACTGTCACTAAGAAGGTGTACATTTGATTACAGTGTCATTAATCTGCAGAAGGCATTCTCTGCTTTACCTTCTGCAGATTGGCTGGTTGGTTGCATAACACTTGATTTATTTCTCCTGCTGCTGTCCGATGAGGGCTTGGTGACCACGGATGTCTTGCTGCTGGGCGCGGGGGTCACACCTGAAGTCATCCGGTTCTTAACAGTGGCCGTCAGAGGAGTGGTTGTGTGGGTTGTGTGGTGTGGAGTGCTGTTTTTCACATCCGTATTCCGGAGACATCGGGGATCCTGCCTCTGAAAAAGAAAAAAAACTTATTTGGAGCCAACGGCTGACTCTGTTTGACTTTCGGTAGTTTACTGAAAAGGGGAAAATAAGGAGAACCTCGTCTGGGCAGCCGAGGTCAACCCAGTCCTGCCGGTTACGATCAAACCCACTGGAGCATCTGAGAGAGGAAGTAAGGATCATCACCGTTACATTGCTACGAGCACCCAGAAATGTCTTTGGGCAGGACATTGAACTTGTATCTGCTCCTGATAGTGGGCAAGCTTCTTACATCAGGGTTCTGCCCCAAACGTGTCAGTGTGTAAATAGGAAGCATTTCAGAAAAGTCCATGAAATGTTAAATGGTAGAAATGTTCTGCATTTGTCATTCAGAAATTAAGTTTGGTATTCATTTAAACTTACATTTTCACGTTTTTGGTATCAGGAGAAAATGGTAAAATACAAAAAGCATACTAAAACATGACATAAATCGTGAATGAACTATATGAATGATCAAGTAGTTTTAGGTGACAGTTTTTCCTAAAGGTAAATCCATATTTTGAAGCCATGCAGAAGGTTGGAATTACATGAACAGCACTTTGGTCTCATTTGTCTTGAACTGTTTTTTTCAGATTACACTTTTCTCTCAGAATGTTTTGATGTGGTAAAATAATCCCGATATAATCTGAGGCTGATTGATGTAATTTTGTGACTGTCAGGAACCGTCTTGTCCCTTCATGAACACATTTTTATGATTTATTAGTTTGAAAGTAATTCCTTTCTTTAAAAAACTTTCTTTAAAAAACTTTCAGTAGGTAAAGTAAATTTACACAAAATACATTTTTAAGAGGTTACAAAAATCAAGCAAACACTCAAACACCCCATTTTATACAATAGCATTTTCAAAACTGTAATTAGTGCCTTTGCATTATTTGTATAGAATTTCTGTCAGCACTCTCCAATCTCATAATATAGTGTATAATAAAAATAAATGGCAATCTATATCATATCATTGTATTCTATTTGACATGGAAAGTTAACAACCTCCCTCTGAAAAGCGTTTTAGTGCTTTTCCAGTTTACCTTTGTAGCCGACTGCACCAACTGCAGTTGAAGCCAATCTGAGAAGTAACACATGAGCCACAGCTGGAAAACTGCAGACATGCTGGGAATAAAGAAACAGGGGAGAGTTAGGAGGAAGAGCAGATTCAGTCCTTAGTAAACAAAACTGAAAAGTATTTTTACTTTATTTGAATGGAACAGATGTAACTCACTGGGCAGAGGAAGCATCTCGATTGCTGTAGAACTGGATATTTTTGATTTAAGGATGTCCACTTTGTGATACTCATAGATGGTTCTTCGGCGAACATCTAACACATTTCAGAAAATGAATTACGTAATTGCAACGTCCTTCTGGGGGACTTTGATCTTTTAATCAGTGCCTTACTGGGAATCTGCTCTATCTTATGAAGCACCACAAAAGCATCCGACAAGCCCACTTTGACGGGATGATTCTGAGTGCTGATGTCACTGATATCCACGGGAATCTGAACAAGAAAAATTAAATAAATACGATTATTTAACCCCGATGGTAGAAGAGGAAAAAAAAGAAAGATGAAGCATCACCTCTTTGTAGGCAAAGACGATTCGTCCGTCCCGGTGTAAAACAGCCTGAAAGGTGAAATCCCCCAGACTTGTGTTGTCCTGGAGGTGGATGTGATCCCACTGGACCACCAGTGCAGTTCCTGATGGGCAGACATCAACTCAGAATAAATATATGACCGCGCAACAAAAAAACAAACAGCTGAATGATGAGAACACCTCTTAATTTCACCAACCGTTATCAAAATATAACACAGTGGAGTTTTTGGACAGGCTTGGGTCAAAATTGGCCATCAGTGGAGCGATGTACTGAGTGGCTGTGAGCATCTGGTGGATTATGTCACCAGTGTAAATAAAACCTGGAAGTAGAAAACATAAAAGTTCTTACAATCGATACTTCTTAGCTCTAGATGTAAATCAGTTTATGACATTCCATCAGATATTACATCAGTTTTCTTGATGATCCTTTTGCTTTTTTGTAAGATCTTGGTGATTATACTCGACAACAATGAAGAGGTGATTCAGCACGAGAATGGTATCGACATTTAGGGCTATTTAAACTCTGCAATCTTAAGTTTATGAGGCTTTAATGTACCACCAGACAAAAAAAAAATAAACTCCTTAGAAATCCAACTATCATGATGTCTTGAACTTGGAGAAACACACAATATAAATTTAAAAAGTTTTCAAAAACACTATTTTTTTATGTACACGCTATAAACGCACAGTAAACACTCACCTCCAGTTGCAACTGTGATTTCTTTAAGGGGATGGCCATAGAAAGGAAAGTCAAAAGAAAGATTGACCCTCTGGAAACACAGAAAGATCCACTGTAACACAGCAGTGTGCTAAAAGATGAGCAACAAACTCTGGTACAAAGCATGAAGTACTGATAACGTATTATTTTTCACTGCAACTCACTTTGTGAAGAGAAGAAAGACTCACCTGTACCAGTGACAATTAATTTAAAAAAACGTTTAACCAATCAGCATGAGACAAACACTTGCAGCTAAGGAATATCCAAATTCAGTGTGACATGACTCACTGACTTTAAACAGGTTTTTTTGGAGATGACAGAACCTGATGGCAGATCAGTAGACAACATACTAGCACTTACAGCTCTAATTAATTGACTCATAGCAAACCGTAACATATTTCACAATTAAAAAACGTTTTACATATGCATATCTAACCACAAACCCATTTGGAAATTTTCCGCTGGGGCTAATCAATTGAAAGATTAGATTGTTTTCTAATAGCCCTCTAGTTCATCTGACTTCTTTTAGCATTGAGAATTATCGCCCCCTGCTGGTAAAACTGTGTTTCTGGTCCAAGGTCCTCAAGGCACACTTCCCTGCGTGTTCCAGCACACCTGATTCAAATAAATGCCAAAGCCCTCCGGCTCTGGAAGCTCTGCTGAAGGCTGATGAAGATGAGTGCATTTAAACGAAGGGTGCTGAAACAGGGAAACTTCGGACACAAAATGCGGGACTGGGAAACACTGCTTTTAAGAACTTAGCTCCTGCCGTCTCTGTCTAGGATCTCAACACCAGTTAATAATTTTTCATAAAGTGACGGCAGTCTGTTTGTTTGCACGGGCTACTCTCATACCTCTGCCTGTCTGTGCGTACTGGACAGGAAGCTGAGGACTTTCCAGCGTTCCCCCTGCTCGTCATTGACATTCACCCACAGCTCTTTGCCAGCTGCGTCTCCAGGGCCGTAGATTTTAGACGTGTAGTAAACATGGTCGATGTCCTGCAACACCAAGCATTAATCAACACATTCATCCATGTGTGTACACACACATGCTCCTAATATAGATATTTTCAGGTGACTACATTAAGTTTTTCTGAACATAAAGAAAGCAAAATACAAACAAAAAACAAACATCTGCCTCCAAAGAATGTTGTTTGACTGGTGAACAGTCTTACAACAATCTGAGTAGAATTATCGTGTCCCTCCTCCATCAGCAGGTCTGGATCTGACCCCTCTGGCTCGTGCTGGTGTCTGTAGTGGCTCCTCTTATGTGAGCCCCAACTCTGCGTTCTGGTCTGGTTATCCTCCATGACTGTAAATGAGATGTTGATCTGCTTTTGTACTGTATACATGTAAAAAAAAAAAAAAAAAAAACTGTGTTTCCACAAATGTTTTTTTCTTTTATTTGTGCCATTAGTTAATTAAATTAATTCTAAGTCCTTTTTAGTGTATGAAAGGTTTGGATATCCTTTTTTTTTGTTGTCATTTTGAGGTTCTGTTTACTTGTACGTCGTTACATTTTGGGACATCTCCAGTAATTTGTGGACAATCCTTTTTACTAAAAGGTGTTAGAGTTACACGGTAAGCTGGACACGTTGGAAACCCGAAACATCAGTGAACCCACAGTAAACAGTTCATGTGTGGCTGCCACCATGTGGTAAACATCTGTGGTCACTCCTGTCCATCCTCTTCACAGTGGACAGTGAAAGGATGCCTCACATTCTTCACACCAGCAGCTCCAACACCAGGCCTGTGAGGCCGGGCAGTGGTGGGTGTTGTGTCATTTATCTGTCACAGAAAGGTCCACCCTGGTCTCATTTCATCAGCCTGCGTAGCTACGTCAGCAAAAAGCCAAGATGAAATAAACCAAACACACACAACAAAGCTGTGCTGTATACCACAGAGCCGCACCAAAAAACCTGAATCTGATTGTCCCATTAATTAATCCCCACAAGCAACATCAGAATCCAAAGTTTCTACTTGTTAGAGGCACGCATTTAAACTAACAAACACACACACAAACTTTAAATACTACTGATTACATTTGGTGACTCATCATCCACAAAATTAACATTAATATCAAATTGCTTTTTTAAAAACATTTTTTTAATTTTATATTCTCAAATCACGCACTCTTGAAAATACTGCACACATTGTCTGGAGTGTCCAGAACTCCATCTCTGGACATTTAGTTTAAAAGTTAGGAGTCAAATTAGAGTTTTAACTTTTAAAAAAATAAAAAATCAGACATAAAAGTAGTAAACTGGCCGAGTGTTTTTTACTTACCAGTAGAAGTTTTAAAGCCCATAAAAACGGTTTGAAACTGGAGTGCGAAGACCAGACCAAATATCACGCCAACCCTTATGATTGTCATCCTTTCCCTAACTTGAGCTCCAGATCGCAGATAAACTCCTCTCGCGATGGAAAAAAACACAGCGGATCGAAATTTAAGGGGTAAAACATGAATGTAACAAAAGGCAGTCCGGGAAAATCACTGGGAAACTTTCTCCATTAAATTCAAGTCCATTTTGAAGCCGCAGTTTGTCCGCATATGCCCTGTGCTCCAGTCAGCAGTGTCCCTACTGTCAATGAGAGCGTGTAACCGTGGAAACGTTGCATTCAGGTAACGTAGTAATTGTTATTTCAAGTGCAAAATGTTCTGTGAAATACACTTATACCTAATTTAGGGTATGCAGGAATAAGATATCAAATTATTGTAATGCAGTTGGTAAAACAATAATCTGAATAATGAAGGATAATTGATCTTCTTTCCCTGAAACTGCCAAGCGGTGAAACAAAACCTCAAATTAACTTCGGGTTATGATCATGTAATCTTACATTCCCGATTCTGCATCTTGATAGTGCAAAATAACAGCACACTATCACATTTTTACCATACCTTGGAGCTTATTCAAAACCTATATGCATTTATATACATTTATAGATGGATGTGATGTGATTATTCTCAAAATTACGTGCAGTAAGTGAATGCTGCACCAGTTGGATTCCTGGTAGATATTTCGAGGTCAGTTTTCAGACTTTGCATAACTGTACATAATTTTTCGTATTTTGGATATTATTTTTATGCATTTTGATGTTCGACTTTAATTTTATGTTTTATTTGTTGATTGGTCTGATCATTTAACTTGCAATATGACAAAGAAAAACTATTGAACACTATGATCATTAGTTCAATATTCTTCACGGTAAAATGCAAATCCAAATTTTTGCTCTTGTAACAAATGACATGACATACCAGCGATTTGTCCAGTATTCTGGCTTTAATGTATGACTGCAATAACCACAGAAAAGCTTCCGACATAGGAAAGTGATTGAAGGAAAAAGTTTTTCATTATGCAAAACAAAAGGACACTTCAGGTCTCAAAAAACATCGAAGACCAAAGAGCAGTTTAAGGAACAAAGGTGTCAAAAGGTTGGTCTTAAGACTTTGTATGGCAACACAAAAGTGAACAATGAAATCGCAAGCCATGATATTTTCTATACAGATTTCTATTCATTGCCTCATTAAGGGTGTGACCTAAATGCATCTACAGCAGGGATAAACGGGTTTTTCACTAAAAGGTGTTGCATGAGCATTTCAATACTAATAACTACCACACCACTTGTAAAAACACTAGAATGAACACTTGTGAACAAATGGAAGTTTCGCTGAGAACATGTTTTTAGTGCCCTGATCCTGTCGTTCCAACATTCCTCATTGCTGTTTTTATAACTCCACAAATAGAATAAATTAACAGGCAAGTGGCAGAGCGACTGAAAAACTAATCCTCAAAGTCTAATGGTCAGAGTTGCACTGCATGCAAAAGCTCAGTTGATTAGACACATTTTTTGTAAACAGTTGACCAAATTCAACAGCATGTGCTTTAATTCTGTACTTTCAAACATGCCAAATATTCTCATGATTCAATATTTTCTGGAGGGGGTGCAATTCCTTAATGAAAGGCAGGTGAGATCAATACCATTGATATCCATTAAGGGAGCGGAACCTGGAAAAATGAGGGGCCAGCAGCTGTTAGTTTGTGTTCACACAACTGTCAGGCTCAGTGTTGTCATGGAAATGCCTGAAGATCAATATTGCGTTCACACACTGGCATCAAAACGAGACAGGATACATTCTCAAACTTTACAGGTATACAGGCAGTACAGAAGGAAGGTCTGGCCACAGAACCATGAGGCCTCACAAAATACTGAGCAGTGGAGACTGGCAACATCACATGATCTGTGTTGCTGGACAGCAGGTTTCGATTAAACTTACTTTCTAGACATGTGAGGTCAAATGACACAAAACTTTTTAGATTTGAAATTGAATCTTGCTCGTTATGATATCTCACTGACAACCTCTCCATGAGCTTCCATTTGTTTTGCTAAGCTTTTGATCTACAGAAGAGTAATCTGACTCCCAGCAAGAAATTAAACAGCATGTACCCCAAATCCACATGGTATTCTTTCCCCTTTAGGATAATGTTATCATTTGCATCAACTGATCGTGAGAATTAATTTACCTCAATTACACCAAAATTTGAGTGTTGTTCTAAAATTATTAATTCATGTCGACAGAACCTTTAAACAAAACGTTTTGACAGGGTGGGATGGGGGGGAAAAAAAATCAAAGTAGAAGCTTTCAGTTTTAACCCACAAATCTTAGGAGCTCCACCTCAAAGATGAGGGTGGAGTTGGCAGGAATGGTGGGTGGGTATCCTTTGCTGCCATAGGCGTAATCCGGCGAGCAGGTCAACTTGGCCACCTGACCGAGGCTCATCTGTGAAAGTGGTGAGGAACAACTGTTAGAGAAATATCGACATTGTATTTAAACAGAGCGACCAATTAAATACACGCCATTCCACGTCAGTCAAATAATATTAATGTTGTACACCAAATAGAAACTATATATTCTCTGTGTTTTGTTTTGGTTGGATGTTCCTTAAAGACCAAATACATCTCACATTGGTGTGCAAGTCACACCATGTGTAAGTTTTATCTTTAAGGGCTACTTTCTATAAATTAACGTAAAAGGACATTACAAAACCACTTTCATCCTCCAGTTAGTCTGTACACCAAAATAACTCACTGACTCAGCCTGCATTTAACAACTGTTCTGCTGAGGTTGACAAGTTCATATGTACACACCTGTTGCAGTGTGTTAATGCTCTACATAGCCAGCTGCCTTTGTATATGTATCTACATGGGAGACACCCCGAAGACACTTTCCTGACTTGTCTGCCACCTTGGTTCAGCTCTTAAGATGAGGAGAAGTATGCAGGGAACAGGCCTATGTCACTGCATTAGTCAATAAATAGGCGGACAGTAAAGGTTGGTTAATTGCTTAGTTAAATGTTTTCATTGCCAGTTTTTTAATTTACGTTGGACATGGATTATTTCACAAAGTCGGTAAACAAAAAATGTAAGATTGGTCAGAACAGCAGTACTGAGCATCATTTTCCTTTTTCTTAAACAGAAAACATTTCTAATGGATACTCATTACAGACCTGCCATCTTAAGTATAAATTGCATAACATGCTGAAAGGAAACATGGCGTCCACATTATTTATTGACCACCGTATACATAAATGATCAGCGTTGGTATATATTCATATATCGACAGGCATAACAGCTGTATAGTTCTTCGTACCTTAGCTACACCTTCATCCCAACCCCGGATGACTTCACCGGCTCCCAGTTTGAATTCAAAGGGTTTTCCTCTGTCCCTGGAGGAGTCAAATTTTGTCCCGTTTGTCAGCGTCCCTGTTCGGTCGCAACAAAAAGATAAGAGAATGAGACGTTCGGACGACTTCGTTTACGTTGCTGCGATTTATGTGCAGGGTGAGTATGTGCTGAAAGGCAATAGTTTAACACAAACTGCAGAGGTTCCAGCGGCTCGACACGAACACGCTAGGTGGAAACGGTTAGCTGCGCTTAGCTTAGCACAGGAATTGAAGATCAAGAAAGAGCCTCGTTTTGACTACAAACTGTTCCAAACTAATATGTTTAATATACACCAGCTTACTCAAGTTGGCTACATCTGGACATACTTTTGATACATTTAGTGGAAAGATTACACTCAATCCGCCTCGTGCCTCAAGGTTCTATGCTAAGCGCATGCTAGCTGTCATATTAGCATAGAATCTGGGTTCAACAGCACAGGCACCCACATTGTCATTAATAAGTAAGAATTTCTCCAAATGTAGTGTAACGTTACACTATTTTCCCCATATTTGAATTCAATAAATGCAGGCCTGGCGCTTAAATTTCTATTTAAAAAAGCACATTTAATTAGAGATAAAATAACAACTACTCACCAACGTAGTGCACGCTGACCGTTTGTCCTTTCTGCGGGAAGCTCTTCCCTGGGGACGAAAAACAAAGCGTATTTCATTCAAATACACATAAATAGGAATAATAGTTTCAATATAAGGTCTTAATGGATTATAACTATTTACCGTCTCCGGGTTTCACGGTATCGACTTGCACTCCCATTGTTCTTTCGATGCTGTCTTCTCTCTTCCGGGACCTGCGTGCGTGTGAAGTGTTGCGCGGTCGTGAACGCGCCGGGATGGCTCTTGCTGTGACGCAGACCAGTGGAACATGGGTCACGTGGTTTGGCAGGCTTGCCTTCTTTATGTACACGCTGATTACAAGCGGAGGGGCCAGCTTTGGTTACACAATCGCTTATAATCTATCGACTGTGAACTCAGCAAAAGGGGAGCTACAGAGGCCTCGAAATGAAAGTAATGCAAATGACCAAATCTAAGATGAATTTAAAAAAAAGATACTAAAAAACACTCAAATTGATGCACAATGACCACAGAATGAACCATCACCTGATCACTGCCAACAACGTTCATTGAAAACAAAATTCGGAGTCAGGTTTTGTATTGCTTAGGGTAAGTTAATTATCATTTCACATAGCCTATCTGCTGCACAGTACTGGATAAGCTGTGGGATATATTTGTTCCAATAATCAAATATAAATCGTAATAAACTATACAGTGCTAAAACTATTCTTGTTTTAGTTCACATAGAAATTGGGACTGTTAAATGTGAATATAGCAGCAACAATGACAAACAGTTATTTATTTGAAAAGAAGGATAAAAGACGGTTAAGAGTGATAATGATTTAATAGAGAATTCAAAAACTAAACCCCTTGAGATTCAAAGCTGTGTTCTCATATATTATATTTCTTTTACTAAGGCTTGAGAATCACCCTAACCCTATTGTGGCTGTCTTTACAGAAGCAAACTTTGTTCAACAGGTTAAGTCTGAATTCCTGGAAAAGTTAAAAGCTTTCCAGTTGTAGTAAGACTATAAGTATTGCTTTTTTATACAGAGATAAATCAAACCAGTTATCAAATATACTCCAAAAAAACTTGGTCACATCTGCTGTAACACTAAAATTATTTCCTTAAAAATGTTAAATTAAAAAGGATCATCTTATCTCCTGTCTTCAATTAAAGTAAAAAAAATAACTAGACATTTTTTCTTGAAGAAGAGACATCTTCACTAAGCATCAGATGAGGAAAAGGCGTCGTTGGATGCACCCGGTGATGGATCGTAAAGTTTGTTGAAGAAAGAGAAATCTGATTCGGATCCATTTTCTGTGCTCTGAGGACAAACAAGATTTCAGATGTTCCACTCTTAGTAAAACTTTGTGTTGTTATATCACCAAATCAAGCTGATAACCAATACTTACATCTATTCTGCAGTCAGAGAGGTCCAAGACAGAGTTCTGGTCAGTTTCTTCATTATTCATGATTATCAGCTGGCTCCTAAATCACACAAGTGTAAATGCAAGCATAGAACATAAATTAGCATTCTTCAGGTACCTCATTTCCATTAGGTTCACTGTGTATTGATTAAATCACTGTGTACATTATGAAACGTCTTCGGTTCAACATGAAGAGGACGATGAAGATGATGACTCCAGACAGCAAAGTCAGACCAACCGCAAGGCTGACAGACAGGGAATCTACAAAACAGGTTGATATTAGAAGTTTGAAAATTAATTATGTGATTACATTTTAAATATGATTATTTTTTTAAAGTCACTCATCTGTTTTAATAGTCAAAGCAAGACATTCACCTGAAGAGTTAACGGCAGGGTCTGAGTAGCATTCATTAGGGAGGATGCTGATATCATCAAGGGCAACGTCACCTTCTGTATTCATCCCTCTCTGATACACAAACACGAACTGTGGAGTAAGAAAGAGAAGGGAACAAAGACAGAAAACCCATCAAGAAATGTAGAAAACCCAAATAATTAAATGTTAAATATTATTCATTCATCCATTCATTCATTCATTCATTCTCTTGATTGTGCAAACTCAAATCTAAAATAAGATGAATAAGAAAAGTAACAAATGGCTTTTTAGGGATGCTGGTAAGATTCAATCTGAAACATAACTGTAACTAGAGTTGGGAGGATGAAATGGAAACACTGTGATCTGTTTGCTTGGTACTTGTTAAACATAGGCTGCCTCAATTGCTGAGGTTTCAGGTGATCAAAGTGTATAGAATAAGTTTAATGTTAAAAGTTAAGACAAATCTAGTACTGCACAAGATTTGAGGTGTGTTGCTCTGGACTGACTACTGGTCAAATAAACAGACATTTTTTGCAACAGACTTGTGCGTTCTTGCAGAAAACCAGCAGGTGGCAGTGTTTTTTTGCTCAAATAACAGGAGACAAAATAATGTTTTGCAGAGAACTGAGCTAAAGATTTTTTTTAGGTGTCTAATTAACATAATTTTTGCAGTCAGACATATACAGAGCTCAGCCCACCAGCTAATAGTAAGAAGAAACTCCCTGTCTCAGCATAATAGGTCAAAGGGGCTGGGGAGGCATATAAAAACAAAATAAAACTGATTCTCAGGCTGACCCCTGAGGGACATTGTGTGTAACAGGACAAAATGATTTTCTTTTAAACAAAAGTGAGTTTGAAAACTGGTGACTTACATATCGTCCAAAACACACCCACTACAGAACTGTCATGTTAATGAGTAAATGGAATCACTTAGTAAAAGGAGGTGGGATGTAATTGACTAAAGATGTTCAATCACTGAAATAGAAAAAAAACGTTCAACAATCGTCTTGAGCAAGGGGAGAGACTGAGTTTTCCAACAGTTTCAAAAGCTTTGAATCAAAATCCAAGGAATGTACAATAATGATGCTAAGCAAGCTTGTTAAACTCTAACTTTAGTCATCTTAATACTTCTTCTAAGATAAAACCTGATAGAATGTTTTACCCAGAATGCTTCCTCATGTTTAATTGGTACACGGGCTTGCTGCCATTGGTCTCCCTTATTTCCGTTTTCAATCCACTTCAGGAGTCCCTCCTCATCACCACCTGCGTGCATTTTCCTATGAGAGAGAACCAATTTAAACAGGCCTTCTACGGTTGGCAAATAGCTTATGTTTTTAATGTTGACTATCCTCAAACCTGTCGTTAATGTGGAGCTTAAGAGTCCCAACATGGCTGCCATACATGTGGTACCAGAAAGTGAGACAGTGCCCTCTGAAAGAAGGCTGGAATACGTCGCTGATCAGGAAGGACATGTCGCCCCACTCACCCACTGAGCTGTCCACATAAACATAGTGACCTGGAGAAAAACAAACCAGTGCAGTGGGAGCTTTTATGTAAATGTCCCTCAAAAGAAACAGGAATATCAGCTGGTAAACAACATCAGAAATACACACAAGAACATCCCAGATCTTGTTGCTGATATTTTCTCTAGCTGGGCTTCATAAATGCATCAAAGGGTCAACTGAACTAGAGGCAATGAGTCAGTGGACTTGATCATAACCAGCTACTACATAGTTACCATGACTAGAGTTAGTAGTGTGGTCAACACTGGGGCCCGTGTTGGGGTTAGGAGAGGCCCCTTCAGCACGGAGCCAGTCTCCCTGGTCAACACCTCCACCCAAGTTGCTCCAGCTACAGAGGGAGATCTCAAAGTCACACACTCCGTGAGCGGGACACCGAGCATCTGTGAGCTGTACGTCATCGAACGCCATGTCTCCCTCCAGCGAGGGGCCGGCCTTCACACCTTCCACCACAATCTGAAACACAATTCAGTTTATGTGCTGTCATTTAGAGATATATTTTAGCTTTGGATCAAAGTCAAGCCTTAAGAAGGAGTATATGTTTTTCTGGCTGAAAATATGTAGTTGACGATTGTTTTAAGTCAGTAACACCAAAAATGAAATCCATTAGACAATACAAAGAACATTGCTGAACTAAATGTACTAACGGACCTCATGTCTGAGGATTATGCTATGAAATGAATACAGACAAATGAAAACATAGGACGAGCAAAAAATCAAATTAAACGATGTGGGAAATGTTTATGTGATTGGTATGGTATCACAAGAGTCATAGTCTAAAACTTAACTTACATAATGGAACTTTGCTAGAAATGAATGAGTCAGAATCGTCAATTTTGGGTAAATCTGTGTGACTCACTCTGTATGGTTGAACGCGTGGCAGGAGGGAAGCCTGAGCAAACCTCCACAGACGGCCCTGGTCTCCTGTCTCTGAGAAAATCAGAGCTTCCTTCCCATCTTCACTGTGTTGGTAAATATTCAGCGTCCCCACCCCTTCACCGTACATGTGGTACCAAAGCTGTACACAGAATGCCTTGTCTGGGGGGGAAAAATCACAAGTTAAAAAAGGCAATATCATGGCTTTTTTTTTAATCTGAAGAGTAAATAAAGCTGACGTTGTTTGTGTTTTCCTCTACATACAAATTGAATTAGTATTGAATTAATTGAATTAGCAGGAAACAGACAGTGCTCAGTTTTAAAAACAAAACAAAAATCTGAAGGTTTGTTCACACTTACGTGCGCTTCTCGTTGACAGCTTTCCTAATGAAATCACTCATTCTGTGAGCCTTATATGCTAATCAAATTAAATTAGTAGCGATCCCTACCTGCGGGGTACAGTGGTGACGACATTAAAGCTTTCTGGCCAGCTTGGTCGTTGGCTGAAGAGGGCAGGTAATAGTAATGACCCATGGCTGTGTTGGTGGTGTGGTCGCCGTCTGGTCCCGTGTTGGGGTTGGCAGTGTGGCCTGAATGCCTCACCCAATCAAAGTTATCGCTTGTCATCTGCTGCCAGTTACAGCTGCTCTCCTCAAAGTCACACAAATCTACAGGACAGGATAGCATCACAGAAAGTGTCATTTAAACAATATACATGTACTTTGATGTCAAGAAACGGTTTTCTTCTCTCTGCTCAATCTCTTTCTTTGATAGGTGATATTTTCTTCCAGGTTTTCTTCCAGAATGCAGTTCCAGAATGCAACAGTTAATCCTTGGAGAAAGATGTGGGGCTGTATTATATTATTGGACCGACAGGTATGTGGCTCACTGATTAGTTTTCATGTCAAAAACTGGCACAGACATGATTTATTGTCTAATTCTAGAACAAATAGACAAAATATAGAAAGACTTGATTTATTTGATTCTTGTCCGGACGGCAATGTTGTGTGGTGGATAGCACCGTCACCGCACATCAAGAGGGTCCCCGGTTTGAGTCCCAGAGGACTTGCATTTTATGTCAAATGGCAATTCTAAACTTATCCAAGAAGTTAGTGTGAGCATGGATGGTTTGTGTCCATGTGTGAAGGAGCAGCAACCTGCTGATGGTGTGCCCTCATTCTTGCCCTGTGGTAGCCGGGACATGCACCAGAAAACCCAAAACTCTAGATTAATTGGCTAAATAAAATGACGAATGAGCGGGTAGTTCAGCTTCAGTTTACCAGAGGCTGGGCAAGCTCCATGAACAAGGGAGATGTCATCGATTGCTATGTCGCCAGCCTCTCCACCAACTGTTGCTTCCAGGATCACTTGGTGGACTCTCTGCAAGGTCACGTGGCTCTGAACTAACAGCCACTCATCTCCCTGGTTTCCAGTTTTTTGCCAAACCTACAGGAAATACAGCAGGCTGATTCACTTGTCACAATGAGGATGTGAGGAGGTTTTTGCAACACATTGGTAGGCTCGGAAAGTGTGCAGCTTGCACTCATTTTTTTTAACCATGCATTGATGTTATTTTGCAATCGCTATTTCACAACTGTGAGAAAACTATAATAACAAAGAAAAATGAGAGAGAGGAAACAGCCGCAAATATTTCTCAATCGGCCTTATAGCTGTTCTCTAACACTGCAGCAAAGGGAAGTAAAGTGTCCTGGCTTAAACATCATTGATGAAAACAGTGTAGCCTTCTCTGAATTATCTGTCTTTAACCAATTGATCTATTAATGAATAAAAACAACTCAAAATACCAGTGTTCTCTCCAGAGGATCAGTTGTTTGTAGAATCATCCTCAAAGAGCCAACAGTAGCCCCAAACATGTGGTACCAAAAAGTAAAACAGTATCCCTTTTCATCAGCAGGTGGCAGCAGTGATGACTTAAGCTGGGCCGTTTTTCCCTTCAGGCTCTTAGGAGAACTCTCGATGTAAAGGTATTTCCCTGTAAATATATACATTTTAGACTTTTCACATACTTAATGTGTTCACTAGTACACACAGTTAGCTTTAATAGAATTGATACTAACTGATCCTGAGAACTGCCCTAAAGACGTATTCAACATCCCCTTCCTAGCATTCTTAGTCATACCTGACCAATATTTGTGTTATGCTGATTATCTGGTTTTCTAATGCAGATTTTTTGGGAAATCAAATTTTGGAACTTTTTAGTTCCAGTAATGCTTACTGATGACTTTTTTTACTGTAAACCTCTGAATTCGTTACAGCAAAATTTGCTGTAAATGCAACCTTTTAGTGCAGGTGATTCATAGTATACCACAAAACTGATTGCTAATATGCATGATTTTAAGGAAAACTGCATATGTAAACACTGACCTTCACCCGTTGTGTGGTCTCCTGCAGGCCCGGTGTTGGGGGTTTCAGTTGGGCCAGTCCTGCTGACCCAGTCCAGCTCATCTTCAGCTCCCTTTACCCAAACACACAGACCCTCCTCGAAGGTACAGCTAAAGGACGACAGTGCTACAGAGAGAAATTTGAGTGTTTCAGAATAAATGCATACCACACAAACTAAACCCACTCATTCCTAATCAGCAGACTCAAATTTGAATGAAACCAGATTTACCTGGTGGCTGGTAGGATTTTTCACAGTTAAGAAAGGAGATGTCATCCACGCTGACAGCATGCTTTCCAGCACCTGGAGTCTCCGTTCCTTTGTGTAAGCTACTGAACCAAATCTAAAAAACACAGAGATACTTTGGGTTTTACTGCACAGTTTGGACATTGTCTTTGGAAAAATTCTGTGAAATATAATAATGCACTTCTGCCAGTGGGACTGCTGCGACCTGTTGACTGAATCTCGGTCACTTTTTTAGTCTCTTCCTGTCTGAGCCAAAACCAGCGTGGCTGCAGAACACATTAGAAAACTTGACGAAAAATATCGATACCAGATTCCCTTTACTTACTTAATTTCAAGAAACCCTGCTTCTATAATAGGCAGTAGAATAAGAATGTGTTTATAACTCTGGAACAAAACATTGTCTCATTCTACTATTTTTTTTTGGACATTCCTACTTATATCTAGAAATGATGGGTATAAAGTTGTGAGCAGGCCAAGAGATTCTTATAGGGTAGGAAATTGCATGTTGAAGAAAACAACCGCATCCATCGCATGAAAGAGGCCGGTTGAATTGAGTTGGTGAATTCGCTGTACGCTGATGACACAACATCCTTCAGAAGCGTGGACATCCTCTTTACAAACTCTGAGTTTGTTTAAAAACCCCTTCGCTGAATGTTCCTGAGCATTAAGTCTTGAATATAACAACTGAGTTGGTGGTTTAATGCGTGACAAAAAAGACCTTGTAAGGCTGCTGGTGCAGGCCTACGGGCAGATGCTCTCGGGTCCAGGGGGAGACGGTGTTGTGACTGCGTGACCACAGGATTGCTTCACTGCCTTCAGCTTGCTGCATAAGCACTCTGAGTGACCCAGTACTCTCTGAGCTGATGTGGAAGTGAAACCTGGGTTGAGGAAAGAAGGAAGGAAGAAGAGGAGAATGTCGGATTAGGGGGAGAGTTGCATGGCAGAAAGACGGGGGCTGTGGGGAGCAAGCATTGAGCAACTTTCATATTCAACAACGGAGCAGAAGATATAGTCTCATTTCTTTCGGCGTGACAATCGGTGAACATTTACGGTCTGAACACTTACAGAATCTGGCAGTAGGGGGAAGAAGGGGGGAGCGGGGGACTTTGGAGTTTGGCTTCAGTGAGTGTGGACTCATGACTGACATTCACTCTCATGTAGAAGCCTGAGAATGAAGGACAGCTGAATGAACAAAGCTGGCCCTGAGACATCAGGAAGGTGGCGTAAAGCTATGATCCCTTCACGTCATGGATCCAAATGGTCAAACGATAATTCAGTCAACAAATCCTAAAAGTCACCAGTGTGTGTTGTGTGATCTGTAGGCGGTTCAGTGTTGTTGCTAGCTCTCTGTCTTTGCCACATGCTTTGTCCGTCGCTCGTGTCCTTCCACTGGCACTGATCACTCTCAAAAGTGCACGGACCTAAAGTGATGAATACAGAAGTGAGTAATATTGAAAAAAAGGTGAAGGGTTAGCATTTCATATCTACTGATTTGCAAAATATCAAGACGTTTCCGTCACTGCAGCAATTCTGATTTTTCTTCAGAAAATCTTTGCTGTTCACGCGTTTTAGAAGCTGATGAGAAATGTACTTTTCCATCTGGTTTTCCACTTTTTGACATATGTCATAACAGTTAAGGCACATTGCACCACTTACGAAACGGTCTCATGTCTCTTTGAATTAACATTGTTAATGCAACACGGAGCTCTCACCACAACCAGCCTCGTCCTCCCCTTGCGGACAGTGTGGATGATAGTCACACTGCAACGTGGACGCAATGCAGATGTTACCAGATGACTGCCAGCAGAAAAATTCACCATCCTGCAACCGTTATGAAAGAGCGTTGGTACTAGTTTTGTGGTGTTATTTGTGGAATAACTCACCTTACTGTAACTTACCTGGCAGGAGCCGATGGGCGGAGTGGAGGCAGATGGTGTTGAAGGGGCAGAAGTGGGTGATATGTCGGGAAGTTTGTTGTTGTCTGGGTCAAAAACACACTCTTTGGAGAAAGAGATGTCATCCATTGCAACCAGACCCATTTGAGCGTCCCCAAGCACATGTCTAAAGACAACCTAAGACACCGATTGAAAACAGAGACAGTTGTCTTTTCTTTCTATGTTACCCATGAGTTTGCCTGAGGTCACTGATAGACTGCTCTCACAAACCTTGCTGTTAGCTGAGGAGGAGAATGTGACCTCTGCTCTCTGCCAGTTGTAGCTCTGTGATGGTTCCCTGAGCCACAACTGTCTGTCGTTACTACCAGACGTCAGCGTCCTGGACAGTGCTGTTAGTGTGGCTGCAGCATCGTCCATGCTGAAGTAAAAGAATCTTACCTACAAAGGTTAAAAAAGTCAAATGATAGCAGAAAAGCGTTTTTTAATATCAAAACAAACAATTGTTAGATAACTGTAGTTTTACTGTTTGCTTTCAAATTCTTCTATGCAACAAAGAACAGTTTTCATATGTTGATTTAACATTATTCGTATGCCGTTTGTGTTTTTGTTGTTTCATAGTTTGTAGAATATGTATTGTCTCTCTATAAGTCCTCGATGGATTTGATAAAACACAGAAAGCTCACAGTGCAGTTGGAGCTTGGGAGCAATGTTTTGGAGAGCATCTCCGAGTTTTGGCCTTTCACTTTCAGCTGAGCAGGTGTAACATAGTGACCTGTATAACAACATCAACAAAGAAGTTAAAGCAGAACATTCCTGCGGCTGACGGGCTAAATCTGGAGCACTATTGTTCAGCACAGAGTCTCAGACCAGCGGCAGAGTTCAGGGTGTGATCCCGGGGAGGCCCGTGGTCGGGCCAGGCTTCCTGTCCTTTGTGTTGAGTCCACTTAGCTCCGAGTATGTCAACATCACTCTCCTCCCAGAAACAGAGGCCATGTTCAAAGTTGCAGCGTTCCTCCACACCATGTTTATCTATAGTGTTAGAGGGTATAACCATGAAGGGGGTTGACAATGACTTACTTTCCACATAGTTTCTAAAAGGAACCTATTTACAAAAGCCATCCTTTTGTCAGTGCCTCCGGGACACTGCGGGTCTTCATGCGCTCAGGCAGGTTTTGGAAGTTTTTTAAAATAAAAATCTGAAATCTCACGTTAAAAAAAACTATTGATATTTGATTAGATTTTTGAAAGGTTTAACCTGAAGTATCAAACAAAGTACACATGTTCTACCCTTTAAAATCTGCAATATCTCACCACAGTCCTGTTCATCAGACCAGTCCCCACAGTCATCACTGAAATCACAGACTTGGTTGGGGTCGACACACACGCTGTTTTTGCACTTGAACATACTCTCAGGACACCACGGCTGGGGCTCTACGAAATAACCCCAAAATTCTTTCATTAACCTAAATCTGCTTGAAAAAAAATAAAGCATCCAAAGCAGCAGCTTACCAGGCAGGGAGCAGTTTGTGAAGCCAACATCATCAACAGCAACATGCCCAGGGCGGTCAAAGTTCCTGGAGGCTTCAAACAGGACGGTGAAGTCATGCGGGTTTCGGCCAACTGTGACCTCACCGTGCTGCCACAGATCTCCCTGGTAACCAGATAACCACCACAGAGTGGTGGTCCTGGAGCCTTCCTTCAGCACCACGCTCAGCTGCGAGTCTGCAACAGTCACGGAAATGCTGAACCAGGGTCGGAACGAGTCTCTGACATTTGTTTGTCTGTTTGTTTGAATGCTGCTCGTAGGTACGCATATTGAAAATGTACCTTCTCCGGCGATATTGTAGAAGAAGTGTAGTGTGCAAGAGGTGCTGGCCTGTGTCATGATGGGACTCTGCAGAGCAGCAGGGCTTATGTGTTCCCCTCGATCAGCCTCCACTGTCATGTACCAGCCTGGAAGAGTTATTGCAGAACTCAGTTAAACTAAACTAATACTCATACAAAAGCCTTAAAATAGAGCATGTTTGCTTTGACTCGTACATTTTCATATCATTGAAGAATGTTTAAAAAGTCACAAGTCTGACACAGGCTGTTGGGTCACTGGTTTTCAATTTCGGAGTCTTACCGAGCTCAGTGCCCAGTGTGCTGTCCACAGAGGGGCCGGTGTTTTCAGAAGCATTCCTTCTGACCCACTGATACTGGCCAACGCTAATGTCTTCCCAGTCACAGGTGCCATCTTCAAATGAACACCCCGAAAACCCAGAACTTGTTTCATTTGCTGCAGGAATAACGAAGCAATTGGATTAATTTGATGGAAGAAACATTCTCCTGTGAAGCCAACAGAATAAATTAAAATGGAGAATATAACAGCTTCAATACCTTGGCAACGACCTGATGTGAGACTGATGTCGTCGATGGCGATAAATCCCGTTTCATTAGACTCTGCCTCGATCAACAGCTGTTGTTAAGGGTACACAAACCTCATGGTTAAAGTTCTGCCCCCATATATTAGTGCTAGTTTCTTATACAGGAATTACAACGTTTGCGTACTTGGAAAGGTTCGGATGTGTCTACAGACTGAGATAACCTGCTCCAGCTGCTCCCACTGCTATTACTGTGGAACAACAGGTCCATCTTTGATGGGCCTGAGCGCATGAAGACCCGCAGTGTCCCGGAGGCACTGACAACCAACACACAAAAGCCATAGTTTACCATAAGAGATAAAAATGAACAAAAGTACTCAGTTTCTATGCTATCTAATATTCCATCCAACAATTTTCTATTATGCCCAACGAGGGTCGGGGGGGCTGGACCTTATCCGAGCTGACGACGGGCACACCCTGGACAAACAACCACACACCCTCACGTTTACTGCCACAGAAACACTTATTTTTGTGGTTGTGGCTACAACAATCTCAAAAAGCTGGATGTTAATGGGGAACTCTGACACAGAATCGTCAGTCTTGCACAAAGTGAAGCAGGTGATTCATGACTACATGGCATTGGTACACACTTCCTGAGGAAGTCAACGAGGAAACTAATCAACAGGATAAAGTGCATCCTTTCTCTACACAGTCACATACTGTATGAAGTGGAAAAAACAAAATCCATGACGAGGTGATTTTTTTTTTTCTCCTTCTGTTTTCCGCTAACCTGTTGTCCATGTGGTACCAAAGGGTGAGACAGGAGGTGTCTTTCAACTGGATCCATTCAGACACTACTTGTGCTACACTGCGGCGATTCTGGTGAGGGGATGAGCTCAGCAAGAACCAACCTGCACGCAAAAAGGCAACAAAAATATGAAGCTTTTTCTTAATATTTTCATATCATAAGTCTTTGTAGAAGCACTAATTCTGTTTTTAATTGGACTGGAACAGAAGCAACATTAAAGATGGATTTGGGGTCTTCTAGTTATTTCAAGGCATTTTTTTAGACATAAGGACATCTATATAGCATGGAGGAAAAGGGTGACTGGGCGTGGGGGCAGTGCCAGCAGGAAACAGGTCAAGAATAAAAAGGGAAGTTATTAACTAACATGCTGTGTCAGTAAAAGAGTGACTGTTGTTAAAAATCAGTGGGAATGCTCTTGTGGCGCTATTTAACAGACAGTGAACAATTACAACAGAAACATCCAATTTTTCGTTTTTGCTATCTTTTTTGTCAATCATTATGATATCTTGGACTTTAGTCACCTTCAGTATAGCTTAAATTTTGTTTAAATATCAATTTGAATATTTCACAATAACACATTTCTTGCCGTCAAAAGTCAGAAAAAATAATATTGAACAGGAAATTTTGGCTTTTGGTTCTGGTCGCTTGCAGATCAGCATCCAGCATTTATGGGTGATGATTTCCATTTTACATCTTATGGAAACATTACTGTCTCACACAATACACCAAAATCATAACAGATGAGACAGCTCTGATACAGACATAAACCATAGCAAAGCTTCAGATTTGTTTTGTCTAACTTCTGTGCTAGGCAGCTTATTTACCCTCTGGAGTCTCAGTAGTGTGGTCTGTTGGTGGACCGTGGGATTCTCCACTGGTCAAGACGAACTCGTGACCATCTTCTCTCCGGATGTTGACCCAGGTGCACTGTCCTGACTCAAAGTCACAGCTCCCTGCAGGACCGCAGGCCCCATTCCTCACAGAGATATCATCTATTTTCACTGTATCATTTGCGCCGGGCACATGGGTGGCCTTAAACACGACCTGGAGAGAGAACACAACTGTTTTGGACAGGAATCTTGCAGGAAAGAAAAAAAATGCGGTGTGTTGCAGAGGATTGGCAGAAAATATTTACATAGAATTTTGCAGGTGAGGACACAGTGACCTCGGCCACCACCCAGCCTGTGGAGACGGACGCAGGTCGCTGCCAGAGCGCATCACCCAGCTCCCCACTTCTCAGCACATGAATAGAAAGGATGGTTCCCAAATCTGTGGGTAACCAGTACCTATAACAGTGAACATCAAATGAATATCAACGTTCAAATGTGATTCAGACAACATTGCATAGTTAGGTGTGACGGTAGCAGACTGACCAGAAGCACACACACATCTCTGCAGCTGTGGGGAACTCTGGGGTGAGCAGCTCAGCTACGTCAGGCTGTGTGGAATTGGAGGTCCTCACAGTCATGTAAAAACCTATGAAGCATGCACATGCACACATACTTAAAACAGATTGCTTTTTGTTTTTACATGCCTGATCCAGCAAATTTAATTTTGTAAAGGCAAATTAAATTCCCTTTGGAGTGTTTTTGAATTATTAACCCCCTCAGTTTGAAATGTAATATGCACCAGGACTATTCCTTTTCACATCAGTTAAAAACAAATAGTCCTCCAGAAGTATTTTTGAAGTAAGTTGACTAAAGTTGCGTTTTGAGCTACTTGAAAAGAACTGCTCATATTTGACCCTCTGCAGCTACACTGCAGTAAAGTCTCGAGCTCACCATTTTCAGTTCCATAGGTGTGATCCACGTGGTGCTTTGTTCCCTTTCTGCGCTCCCAGCGACCCAAAACATTGACACTGTTCTCAAAGCCACAGGAGTCTGAGTCAAATCCACACAGGTCTAAAACAGAGAGAAAAAGTCAAAATGGCATCAATCTCTGGTTGGTGTTGGTCAGCTATTCATATCATTGTACATACTCTGATCGTTGCACGCTCCGTCCTTCACTTTAACGTCATCGATAGCCATGAAACCCTGACTGTGAATGTGCCTTTTCCCCCTGAACATTATCTGTGGATGAAGGTTGAAGATTCAAGAAGCTTTATTTATCCAGGAGGAAATTGCTCAATGAGAAGTAACGGCAACATCTAGTTAAATTAAATCAAAATCAGCTATCAAAAATGGTCTTAGCTATCTATTTTTCACAGTAAAAAGTACAATCAAATTGTAATCGAGATAATTCAATAATTGAATGGGTATCTATAGAATGCACATATATACATGTGCATTTTGTGTACACTATGTAACTTTTTTAATTGTTTTTTAACAATGTGTGTTCAAAAGATTTTTTATTTTTATAAAGCCCATGGGAGGAAGGAGTATATTACAGGTTTGGAACACTTCTTAGATTACCTGTAGGGTGTTATTCATGGTGGTAGATACTTGTGCTCTCATCCAGTCTGAATTTTGTGTCCTCTTACGAGTCCAGACCAAAACTTCAGAAGAATTCTAAAACAAACAGAACGAATATAGTTACTGAGTCAAACATAGCTATCAAAGCATTGAATGGTAGAATAAAAAAGCATTCCATGGAGAGCACATACGGTTCGAACAAGCAGATCTAGTGTGGCCACTGAAGGCCCCAACATGTAATACCAAAATTCAATGCAGCTTTGTGATAAAGAATTGTGGGCAGGAACAGAGATGACTGCTGTCTCATTATCCTCAGATCCAGATCCATTTAGAAGTAAAAAGTAGCCTTGGTAAAAAAAAAAAAGAAAGCCAGAGATCAGAGGAGGATAAACTCATGCAAACAGTTTACTGGCTGAATGAAAGAGTGATAAAAAATATCAGTCACAACTTGGTTTTCAAGTGTAAATGGTGCCAAACATTTAAATATTTTGAAAAAGTCCAGATGAGAGCACATTGATAAAACAGCAATGGTAAAAAATCCTCTTCCATATAATGTGTTATTGTTTTGTTATCAGTAATCAATACCATGATTATTCCCCACAGTATGATCATACAGCGGCCCATCCCATGGTCCGTCTACTTGAACTCCACTACTGAGGGTCCAGTTCAGGACATTGCTGACCTCCTGGTCCCAGTTGCACAGACCTGTTTTACAAGAAACACGTTAAAATTGTTAGATACTGTGCTAGTGACATGAGTATAAGATGACTACAGACTACTCAATCGATAGTATGCAACTATTGAGGAGGCAAAAACTTCTGAATGAAATAGTTTTTCCCCGTATTTTCCCATTTTCACCTTCTTCAAAGGAGCAGTCCATGGCATTGGATGGAGCAGCTGTGGTTGTGGTGGGAGGGTTTGGTGTGGTGTTTGGATTAACGTCATCACAAGACCTGCCCCTGATGATGTGGACATCATCTAGAGCAAAACTCCCATCTCCTGAGGGTGGACTTGTGGCTTCTAAGATAATCTGAAAAAAAAAGGATGCAGCTTTGACCCAAGATTTTATTTCAGAGTAAGCGTTTTTCTTAAAATCACAAAATCACAAGGGTATGTTATGAAGGGATGCCCAATCTACCTGGTGAGGACCTGAAGCATTGTAATCCACTCTGTCCAGGATCCATGTACTATTTGTATAACCCATCGTACTCCATACAGGGCGCAGCCCGGCAGTATCATTTATGAGCACTGTTAGTGTGATGTCGGATGGCTCTAAAAGTTCCAGAATTTGGATTTAAAAAGTGTTCAGAAAAGATTAAAAGCAGTAAATACCCTCATCAGACTGAGAATTTCAAAATGTCCATTAAACGACGGGGAAGGATAAATTGAGACCTACTAAATCGTTCATGTACTGTTGTTTTTATCCTTTTCTGTTTTTATGTCAATAGATTCTTTATCAACTGGAACATGTCATGTTTGAAATATTCCCTAGAAAAGTGAGGAAAAATCCTCTTAAGCTAAGAAGCTCTGAGAAGGTTTGCCATGACTCATTTGCAGTTTTCTATGAACCCTTACAATAACAAATTGGGTTGTCTTTAAATTCTTTGAAAAAGTTCCACAGAAAGTCAGAAACAGAGAAAAAAAACATTTATTTTGGGTTCAAAGCATTCACATAAAAATTGTGATGTTTCCTTTAGCAACACAATCTGAGAAGCCCTCAAATGTCCTTGTCTGTGATCAGGCATCTCAACATAAACTCCATATACTATTCCGATGTATTTAGTCTGTCTACCTAAAACAACATCACATAAGTAAACCTAAATAGAAATGTGCATAATATTTGAAAAGTGCCTGGAAAAAAAACATTGAACTTACTATTCACAAGCCATCCTTGAGAAAAGTGCCAGATCTCCAGGCAAGCTTGGTCCACAGCCTCCATAGTCTCACTTTGAAGCTGCGCAATGTTTGTGTCGTAATTTCCATTTTGGATAAAAATTACAAAATGACCTTTGGAAATAAAATACATCACAAGTGAATAAAGAGTAAAACAATCCTGCTCTGAATGCACCTAAGGTTAACGGTATGTGTGTTTGCTCACCTAAAGCAGTATTTGTTGTGTGGTCTCTTCTTGGAATGAAAGTACCCTCACTTTCACCTGAGAGCCAGTCCCAGTCAACTCCATTCTGGGCCGGACGGGTGTTCACCCAACCACAGAAGTCCATCTCAAAGTCACAAAAGCCTAAACAAAACCAAACCAAAAAAAAACACAGATACATTACAGCCACAGAAGCAAATATAGACACTTGGCAAGTTAAAGTCAATCGAAAAAATGTCTAACCTGTTGGGGGACATTCGCCATTCAGGACAGTGAGGTCATCAATAGCTATGTCTCTCCTCTGTCCATCCCCCACTTCTGCCTCAAAAATCACCTGTCAATCAGAACGGTGACCTGATGTAAACTTTTCAGAAGTTGATTGAGATGCACCCCCTTGAATACAAAATGCCATGTTGGTTGAGTCCTTACCTGATATCTGTCATCGGGGCTTAAAAGCGTCACTCTTCCGTGCCTCCAGTGTGTGCCTTGGTCTCCTGTTCTGCTCCACAGTTCAGTGGAGTTGTTGAGGCTGTCTGCTGGCTGTAGGTAAACACTGAGCTCACCCACTCTGTCTCCCTCCATGTAGTACCAGAATATTAGGCATTCCCCATTGGAAGGAGTGGGCTCCATTGCTGTCGTCATCATAGCACCTCTGGACCCAACAGGGTGCCTCCATAACTCAGCACTCAGGTAATAACCTACAGGTAAAGTGCAAGGAAGCCTGAATTGCTGCAAGGCCTGGACTGTGTACTAGACTAGTCTACCGCTTTTGTCATCCTATGTTGTGTCAAACCTTGCTCTGTCCCCAGAGTGTGATCTGTTGCTGGGCCAGAAGAGTTGGATGGCTGAGATATCCCAGTAACGCGGTTCCAGCCGAAGTTCGCAGTGGGTTTGGGCTCAAGGCCACAGAGGGAGCCCTGGAAAGTGCACTCCCTCTCAGGCGGACAGGCACCAGTTGGACTGCTGGACACCACTATGTCATCGATGGCTATACTCCCACGATTGCTGCCCGGCACGGCTTCTATGATGAACTGGAGCACAGTTGGATTCATGATAAAAGTAGCTATCGCCACGTAAAGACAAGAAAGAGACAATTTAAAAGAAAAGAAAAACTTATTGTAAGCCTACAATCTCCAGTATGAACTTCAGAAAAACAGCGAGAGAGCTCAGAAATGTTGTAACTTCCTGATAATGTAACTTCTGTGTCTAGACAGTTCTGATAAACGATCTCACCTATACCCAGCAACAGATAGCTTAGACAGTACCTGTATTGGTTTGTCACTGTTGAAGGTAAGATCTGCAAACCGCCACTTATTTCCCTGCGTGCCACTTCTCATCCACACAACCGTCTCTGGTTCATCGGAACGCTTTGCAATAAACTTCAATGAACCTGATCGCATGAAAATAGCACAATTATTTGTACAGTAGAGGTATAAAATTATGTAAAATTAGGTTTTTGTTTTCCTGAAAGTGAAGCTGTTTGCAGCGAGGCTCGTACCAATGCTGTTTCCAAATATGTGGTACCAGAAGCTCACGCATATGACTTGGCCAGCAGGTTGAGGGAGGCTCGCAAGTCTGGCTTTTGACGCTGAATTCAGGTTGTGAGCAGCTTTAATCAACATAAAATAGCCTGCAGTGGAAGAAAAAATACCCTTTTTTCCTCTGACGGAAAGAACTAATTTTTGTCAGTGTGACGAAACTCAAATTTTTTTCAAGCAGAATTTCCAAATGTTTTCAAAACTATGTAACCATCAATGCATAAAGTGAGCTTTTAAAGGATAGCAATACTTTACTCTAAAAGAAAAGACAAGCTGTCGTTTCATTTGTCATTTTCATATTTTACGAAATTAATCACTTTTTTCTGGTATTCAGTATTACTACAGAAGTCTGGAACAAACTCAAAGGGCATTTCCTGCCTTTCTTCCTACTTGTCCTCTTGCACATTGTAAACTTACCATTACCAGTTATGTCTTCATATAAGCCATTGCTCCTTTTCCACATAAGGCTGGCTGTGTAATCATGGTACCATGAACAGGTATCCTTTTCAAAATCACACGAGAGGCGATCGGATCCATCTGGAATGTCTTCATTTCCACAGTACTCAAAGGTGATATCATCCACCATCACATCCGTGGGTCCCATAAATGAAGGGCTGTGTGAAAACTGCAGCTGTAGGGAGAACAGACATCTGCACAAGGTTCTAAAATTGTTCTGAAATCATTGTATTCAAAGAGTGGAATGTATTTTTCTCTATCTCCTTCCGCTCTCTGTACAAATGATTTATTGAACAAAACCAAAGTAGCTTAATCCCCTGAATAAAAGCATAACATTACAGCAGGAACTATCTTTCTCATGTCCCGGTGTCTACCTGCGTTAATGTTGCAACGTTGCGAAAATGATCAAATCCACCAAGCCTTTTTTTTATCATTGCTTCGGAAATTAGGCATTATAGAAGCACAGGAAGCCAGATAAAGACTAGATAAAGATCCATAAAACTCGCATGTCTGGATACAGGATGGAGACACAGCATAATTTATTCACCTTGTATCCTTCTGGTTGATTACCAATGAAAGCCGTCGCATTCTCCCAGCCATTTGTTTTGCTCTTCGAAATCTTCAGCAGTACTTTAGAGGTTGTATCTCTGACCATTCTAACTTCCAAGTCTGACGATAATGATGATGTGCCATTAAGATGATACCAAAATCTAAAACATATAAACAGAGATATCTGAAGAAAACAGCCATACACTCACCCAAAGATTTGTCTGCTTTTAAATAAATATCTCAAGTGTCTGTGTTCTCATACCTCATTTGGCATCCCAGAGCAACCAGGTGTTCAACATAAAACTCTAAATTTGCTTTCTGAAGCAAAGCACCGTTTTGTTTTCCATCTATATGCATGACATGTCCTATGTCCAACAAAAAGAAAATCATCACAAGTTGGATCAAACCATCAAGTCAGACTCTCATTTGAAAGGCAGCCGCATCCATTTCACGTTAATTATAAATTATTACTGGCTGAATTATGAACAGATGATAAAAGTGATTGTAACTACCCCAAGGGCTTCCTAATGTGTGATCCTGTCCAGAGGTGATGTTTGCTCTCTGCCACCTCCATCTATAGGAGGCACTGCTGGCATCTTTCCAACCACAAGAATGATCTTCAAAGTCACATGAACCTTAATAATGACAAAATATGTTTGTACAGTATACCATATCCAGACAACTAGGAGTCAGTACTTTGAATGTGAAGCTCCCATAGAGCATCATTCAGGGTGAAAAACATAACTATCACAGGATGGTTTTAAACCAACACATTTTAATAAAACTAATGATATAACATACATTTCTATAGTGTATTTACAAATAATCTTACGTTGGACAAGCCACAATCATCTGTTCACACATACAAATGGTCATATCCTGCTCAGATGTTAAGGTCAGAATCTTCCTAAAACTGATTTCAAAATGACGAGGACCAAACCAACACTAACAAATGACCCGCTCTGCCTTCAGAGCCACAACTGTTGCAAAACAAACAGCTGGAAAAGAAAACTTAAATGTTTGCAGGTAAGCTGACCTACCACAAAAATGTTCATCTGAACCATCTTTACAGTCTTTCTTAAGTCGGGATGGAAGACATTCTCCAGATGTGCAGTTAAATTCCCCATCAGGACAAGAGGCCGCCACGGCCAACGACACTGTAGAGGACAGTTTTATCACACAGTCATCAAAAAGAGAATTCTGCCTTTTTGTTACTACTCTTGTGACTTGATCACCTTTACAACCCTCTGACCAGCACGTACACACTCATAGAAACTTCTTACCTGAGAGCAGTGCAAACAGATGCTTCATGTCTGGAGTATTGACATGGAGCAGGTAATAGAGAAAAGACTAAGTCCTGAAAAGATGGTGACCATGTAGTGTTCTGATTGCAAGTATGTTCATAAAATGACAGAATGCCACTTTTATTACAAGAACTGAGCGAAGGCTGTATGTCCTTATCTGCAAACTGAGCTTAAAGTCCATCATGTACTCAGTAACCTGCCACTTCCTTCACTTGTCTATGCCACATGCTTGTTTTATTCAGGTCAAGCTGGTCCTCAGGTTAGAGAACATTACCTAATTAGTGAGATATTTTCTACATGATAAACCAAATTCAGAATTTGACAGTGTCTTTCTATAAAATACTTCTACAAACTGTACTGTATAAATGTTAATGAAGATTAACTGTGACATCCAGTTAACGAGTGTGCTTGTGATTAAATGAGAAAATGCTAAATGCCGAAGCATTTGTGTTATATGAGTGGGACAGAGCAGTCTCTCCACTTTAGTACGAGAATAGAATTGTACTTACTTCTTAATGTGAAGGGAATAATGCAATTGCCGAGCTATCATGGATCTTACCTGACATATCTAAGCTGTTCATGCTTAAACCATTATATTACATCATCATCCATCCATTTTCAGAACCGCTTATTTCCAAATGGGGTCGCGGTTGGACTGGACCCTATCCCAGTATTCAATGGGTGAAAGACAAGGTACAACCTGGACGATCCACCAGTCCATCGCAGGGCCACACACAATTAGACACACAAAGACAAACAACCACGCACACTCACTCCTAAAGGTAGTTTGGAATGTCCAATCAACCTAAAATGGAGGTTTTTGGACGGTGGGAGGAAACCGGAGAGAAGACATAGGGAGAACATTGAAACTCCACACAGAAAGGTCCTGGGTCCATGTGACTCGAACCCAGAACCCTCTTGCTGTGAGGTGATGGTGCAAACCACCAGACAAGTGTGCCACCCTATTTGGGTTTAATAGCTTGAAAAAGTAATGAGATAAAATAAAAATAAAAATCATAAAGCCTCATACGCTACTGGCAACAAAAAATTGTTAAAAATGTAACTATTTTAATTTATGCCTCTCTCCTTGTGGGAATATAAAACCAACTTTGATAAAAAATCTCATTTAGATTGTGATAAGAGTTGGTAGTGCAGGCAGAGGCTCATAAAACTCACAATAACAACACACACTTCAGGCAGCAGGCCAACAGGACTGGAGCAAAGGTTTGTGTGGTTTCTGACAAGATCGGATCAGGAATTACTGACATAACTGACACAAATGAAATTGCAAAGCTTTGGTCACCTTGTAGGAATGTCAGTGAGCTGACAATCAGATAGAAACTTTCTTAAACAATCCTTTCAAAATGATTTCTAGTGATGGCAGGGGCGTTTTTGTGCCTGATATTAAATGCAGAGAGAAACAATCCCTGTTGCCTCAAACTCACTAATCTGACCATCGTCCACCAAACCCCCTACATAAAGATTTTCGTTGCTAAAGCATCCAAATAGAAGGGCAAAGCCTATCTTCGCTGAATGAATACCATCATTACGTTCTCGTTCGATGGAGAAAAGTGTAGTTTGTGTTCAATGAAATTCAATGGTGCAACAGTCTTATAAAAACAATAACTGTGGTCACAGGTTGATATTTCAGCAGAGCGCTCAAGCACAAAAAGGAGAATAACCAAAGGGGAAGTGAGAGTGAAAAATGCTATGATTAATGTAAAGGAAGAGTAGCACATCTGAGTGCTTTCAGCCGGCACAGGATATTGTGTTGCTACATTCAGGATGAACACAAAGTTCTTTTCTTAAGCAATGTTTAAGCATTATATTGGACATTATTTGGAGACTTGCATTCCATGTTTAGATTTGTGAAGTATAGCAAACAAGAAAAAAAGGAAAATAGGAAAAGAAAAACACATGACCAAAACTAATAACGTAGCTTTTGATTTACTGGGGATCTGCATGTGTGTGGAATTACAAAGCAAAATTCGGAACATCTGAGGTCATCCTTAAAAAGTTTGTTTGTTATCTCACAGTTGACGAGTTGTAAATTTTCTGTTCCTACCGACCGTGTCTATAGCCCGTTGATTCCATAACTTAGTATCTCCATTTATATTCTGTTTGCATTTTAAGGCCTGATTACGCCTTTGCAAGATTCCTGCATTTGGCCTAAAGAGTATTTTGAAGTAAATTAGAGGTGGTGCCAGAATTATGGGGAGAATCTTTGGATAAGTAAATAAAAATATGGACTGAAACCAAGTGTCAAGATCATTCTGACCAGACATACATCTGCTGTTACTGTTTTTTTTGTATTTTTATTTGCATTTTTAATTTGGCTTTTTTTTCTTTTGTGTCACTACTCCCTCTTTGTTTTAAAAGAGGTTGTTTTTTCTCCTGGTGTTTCTAAAAATAGAATGGATCAGTCCTTGATAAACCACATCTTAGTCAACATCAATTAAGCACTATTTGCTTTTTGGGCCATAGAATATCTGTCGGTTTATATATCTGTCTATATTGCTATAATATAGGGATATAATGAATGAAAGAGCATCAAACCCATGGAGATGAGAGTTCAAGCGATGCATAGTGTTATATTGTTTTTAATTGTCACTTTTTTCTCTTCTTTTGGGAGGTAACTGAGGCCCCTTTCTACCAATATTGGAGTGTGGTGTCCGTGCGAGCAAAAAAGCATGTGTTTGTATGTTTGTGTGCGTTCTGCCAAACTTCCTTCCTCCACAAACACCCTCCACCACCACCCAGCAGCTTTTGTTTTTTTTTAACCAGTAGAAAAATGCTGAAATGTGCCAATCTGAAACATGACACTTTTTCAATGAAAAGGAAGGAGAAAAGGAGCATGTCAGTGTGCTTTTAAGATTCCCTCCTTTTTCATGTTCCTGCTCACACATCCTCAGCTTGCAATGCGTGAATGATGTCTGCTCCGAGACTTATTAGAAGAATGCTGACACCAAGGATAACTCTAGCAGCTTTTGTGCTCTTTATTCCAGCCTCTCAATGTTCAATAGCACTGCCAAATGGTAAAGTATAACCTTTAGCTTTTTTTTAAACAACAAATGACATTTTTTCATTGAATTTGTTTGTGTCTTGCCCTGGTGACAAGTGCCATTTTTTGTTTCCTCACTCTAATGTAGCCTGCACAAATGTTGTTCTCAATTTAGCATTCTGACCTGAAAAGGCCATTGAAATATTAACTGGAATAGAATTAACTAGAATTAACTAAGACAATCGATATGAAAAAAAATACACCAGGAAAACAAAGAATCTTAGAATACAAAACCCTGCCAAATCATTTATTACATTTCTGCCAAAGTTGATTACGTCTTTGTATTTGACCCTGCAGATTCTTCATTTACTCTTACTAATAAGGCCACTGGATTTTGTTTGGTCAAAAAAACCACCCGCTGCCTTGATGTGCGCTGGACAATTGGTAACCGCCTTTTTGTAACCTCGACCAAAAAGTGCCTCGGGGCCCAGGGTATGAGCACGGGCAGTGAAGTCAGCCAATATGATTGCGACGACAAAAGCAACCTCCAGAAGTGGGAATGCAGGAATGAAACACTTATTGCCCTCAAAGACCAGCCGTTCTACATAGAAGCCAAAACTGATGGAACCATTGTGCTTTCTAAAACTGTTGGGCCAAACAGCCAGTTCACAATTACGGGGACATCCAGCGGTGCCTGTTCAAGAACACACAGAGGTAAAAAAAACAAACAAACAAACAAAACAAAACAAAATAAATTATGTCCGTGTTGAGTCTCAATAAGCCTGTGTAAAGATAAAAAGTACAAGTCTGTTTTGAGTGACTTAAGTCAGAGACTGCTTGGTACTTCAATCACTAAAAATGCTTCTTCTAAATAATGCTTCTGTAAATTCTCTCAGTTTCTCTCATCTTTCTTCCTCCCACGTAAGTTCTGATTGGTATAAGGGCGAACGCTAAAAATAACTATTTGTCATGTAAATGTTTGGCAGAACAGCCTTTGTAAGATTCCGAATCTTTAACACAAAACCTCTTTTTATGCCCTCAGAGCTTTACACCATCGGTGGAAATGCAAATGGAAAGATCTGCATGTTTCCCTTCATGTACAAAGATCGCTGGTTTGGAGATTGCACCACTTTCGATGCCTCGACCAAGCGCCTGTGGTGTGCAGTTGAAACCAAATATGAGCATGAACTGTGGGGATACTGCCCGTCTTCTTGTGAGTTTGTCCACTGTCAATTGCAGATGCAATAAAAGAGCATGCAACAGGCATGCTTGGTGCTCTGAAATGAAACACTTTATTTAAAATGTTACAAATTGGAGCTGTAGGAAGCATGAGATCCATAACTGACATATAACACACCGCAAATTAGGCATGTCTGGTTGACTTGCGGTGTAAAATCTTTCACAGCCACAGAACACTGGAGCAAAAACTTTGTGACGGGAGCATATTACCAGCTGAACCCACAGTCGGTCCTGACGTGGGCTCAGGCCGACACCAGCTGCCGGCAGCAGGCCGCCTCCCTGGTCAGCATCATCGATCCCAACGAGCAGGCGGTCATCTCAGGTAAAGCGCTGCCTGCAGCATGTTTGCAGGCTCCTAATAACTTCTTTCATTAGAGTTGACTGAAAGTTTTTGCAAAATTCTCCACCTTTTCAAATATGGTCACAGAATGACCTGTTGATGAGTTAGTTTAAATACTAGATTTCATATTCTTTTTCGATACTTTTTTACTCTTACTTGCATTTGCCTCTATTGAAACAGAGTTTAGTTTAGTTACACAGTTTAGTTTAGTTACAAAGCCTAACTAACTAATGAAATTACAAAAATAGTTTCAGATGAATAATCACTACATTAATAAATTATATATATGTTTTAGGGATTAGTTGAAGAAAGATCAAAAGGATCCAGGTACATAGAGCATATACTTAATTCTTTTTAAGCACATGTTGATAGTGAATTGATCTTTTTTTAATTTTGGTGCAGCAGTCATGGTATGATATCAAACAAAGAAAGAAGTAGCGAATCAGTCCTGGAGGAAAAGATTGCAGTTGCATGGTATAAGCCATTAGAGATAATATAACGGGCCTACGCTGAGGATTATAAACAGCATCAATGCAACAAGTGAGGAGAATGATCTGATTTTTTTCCCCTGGTGTCTGTATGATTAGAGATATGTCTATTTTTATGGAAAAGTAAACAATCTTATCGCAAGGATCAGACAGCACAGCACTGCCAGATTTACTCCATTCTGTTATATGCTGCAATAGAAAGGCTCACAAGGCACTTGAGCCTTCCTTCCTCATATGATTGTGCAATCTGATGAATGCACAGCAAGGCAAGGGGCTTTCAACAAGCACTGCATGAAGCTCTGCACAAAGAAAGACAGAAAATTGGGATGTTGTTGGTAAAAATCTATGGGTGACAAGCCCGGGTAACATTCCCAACATTATGTAGTAATATATTAATGTCATAATAGAATCTCTTCTTTTTATTAACATTAAGCTACTGAATCAACAGTTATTCTTAAATTGATCTTTCGTCTACACAGTTTTTGGTATTCATCATTTCTGCCTGGCATGTCATGGCCTCTGGATGGGCAACAGGGTGGACAATTTTACACTAATTATTTGAGACTAATTTGAAAAAAGGGACTGTGACAAGCATAATGTTTTCATGTATAAGTATAACAATATTAGCAAACCACAGCACCTTTTCTTGTAGGTTACCATTTATTAAAATAAAAGCTAGCAATGCCTTAGAGCTAAGCTATTAGAAATGCAACAAAGTCAATATCTTTTTATTCCATTTTGTCTCTCTCTGCTACACAAAAAAACAGCATTATTGGGCTCTGGCAGAAAAAAACTTTGGATCGGGCTGGTTCTGGATCAAGAACATGGCTGGAAGTGGACTAATGGGAAGCCTTTCCGCTATCTGAGATGGGGAGAAGGTATGTTTTAATTGCATTTAACTTCTGAGATATTCAAAAAGTAAAGAAGCAAAGAAGCAATCAATAGTTTAAATTATGGAAAGTTGAATTTTGGATCTTATAATCCTGCTGTGGTAACTGTTTTTAAAACAACCATAGCAAAAAAAGTCCCTGATTCCATGGTCAGGGTATGCTTTAACACAAAATAACATTTCTAATGTTTAACAAGAGCTTTTGGGTTGATTCAATTTGAATTTGGTTAAGCTAGTTTTTGTGGAAAAAGCTGTACTTAATTTTGAATCCTCAAAATAACTACATTCAGAATGCAACATCTTCTTCACTGTCTCCAAGTTGCCAAAACATGATTTCTTAGTTTTATGTTAGAATAATTATCTTTGCTGCTTATGTTCACAATTGAGCAGAGCTCTTGTCAGGCTTTTGTCGTAGTGGTTTTCGTTCAGTTTTGGAAAAAGTTGATGTGAAACCATGGAAGAACATCATCTCACAAACACTGCACTCATAGATAGGGCATTTATTCGACTGTCATGATGTTCTAGGATATCCCCAACCTAACCCGGGACACAACTGTGCCCTTCTGGACTCTTGGGGCCAGCATTCATGGCAGAGTTCATCCTGTGCCAAGAGAATGGGCTACATCTGCAGCAAAGGCGGCACTCCACCAACTCCTCCCCAAAGTAAAGACAATTATTCGACTAGCTGCTATGATGTTTCTTAATTTTTATTGATGTATCAGCCTCTCAATCCCCTCTTCTTCTTTTCAACATCAGTTGAACAGGGATTTTGTTCAAACCCATGGATTCCTTACAATGGCCACTGTTTCCACCTTCGGCGCACTCCTAAGACATGGACTGATGCTCAGAACGAGTGCCGCAAGGAAGAAGGGGACCTCGTGAGCATGCGCAATTTGGAGGATCAAAGCTTTGTCATCTCTCAACTTGGATATGGTATGCGATTACTCAATTTTTTCCGAAATGGGTGAGAGAATTCCAATAGTCATGAGGACACATAAAATCTGATAATTCTCTTTAGCATGTGGAAATGCGAAATTCTAGCAAACCAAGCAGGGAATGCAGTCTGCATCACTACGTCATGATTTTTCCTCATTCTGAAAATATAGTTGATTTAAATTCAACACACTTATAGAGGGAGCTCACGATCAAGATCACCGCCTGTCTTCAAATTTGGACTTCAGGCGTGGAAATAATTCAGAAGGAAAATAATTAATTAATTAATTATTCATTATTCATTCAACTAAAAGTTGTGTATGATGCATGTGTGGTCTTCATAATTGTTATGTTGCCACAACGGGAAATCTATAAGATTCTGCAACAATGTTCACTGCAAATTAATTTAACTACCCTTTAAGATATTTTTTCCACAATGGTTTGGACAATAGTGCAAACTGATTCAATGAGGTCCATGCCGCAACTGTAATTACTGCAAACAAAACAGTTTGCCGATGAACCTTTCATCTGCCCGTCAATGTAGCGTCCAATGATGAGCTTTGGATTGGACTGAATGACCGGCAAACAGAAGGATTGTTTGACTGGAGCGACCACTCTACAGTCAGCTTCACCAGCTGGGAGTTTGGCAAACCAGGTGTTTCCGCTGAGGGAGAGGACTGTGTCATCCTCAGAGGGGAGGTACGGGCAGAATTATGTCCTTTCTACACATCTGTCTAATAGTATATTTGCAAAAGAAATAAAATATTCATGGAAACATGACAGAACATATCAGCACCGTTGTATACATGGGTTCTCTCTGGGATAGTCTAACAAATTGTCCAACCCTAACCCCCCCTTTGGCCCAACTTGGAACAAGTGGTTAAAGTAGATATATGGACAAACCAATATTTTTTTGGACATCAGAACAGAGAAAACACAATATGTGAGACAGCACTATAACATGAATGATACAAGCTGTTATGCAATAAGGTCTGAATTTATCCAAAATCTGGAATTCGTATTGGTCATGTTGCTATTCAACTGCTTTAAGGTTTAAACTGTGGTAATCATGAATCCTTTGAGAGGTAGTATGAGGTTTTTGGATGGATTGATGGGTAGAGAGCTGCATGCAGGTTTTGCAATTCAAATTGGAGAGTCATGTCAAGATCATGCAAAAAGTTTGATTTGGGATTTCAATCTTTATTTGGCACTCAAATTGTGCCCAAAGCAGAATGTTATTTCTGTGGATTGCTCTGAGATCCTGATAGATATAATTTGGCCAACAAATAGTTCTCCCCTTTTCCTTCAGAATGGGAACTGGGCTGACAGCCCATGCGATCAGAAACACGGATTTATTTGTATGAAGCAGAGTTCCACTGAAAGAACCACTGATGAAGTGGAGATGGATGTTGGCTGCAAAGCTGTGAGTATTCACTGATAATGTTTAATTGGGCAAAACATTAGGAGGAGAGTGCTGTTTTCAAAATGAATTGCTTCAAATTTTAAGGTGCAACATTTCCATTCTGATCCGATTTTTTTTAGGGTTGGAAAAGACATGGGTCTTATTGCTACTTTATAGGAACTGAGACGAAGACTTTTGATGAAGCCAAAGATGACTGCAAAAATTCAGATTCCTACTTAGTTGATGTATCCAATGGGTAAGAAGTGTTTTCAGAAACGGCACAGTGTTTCTCAGCTTGGGTCCTCGAGGACAACGGTCCTGCATGTTTACATGTGACCTCCAACACACTGATTCACTACTCATCTTCAGCACTTTAAGTTCTGCAGAATACTGATGAAGAACGACTCATTTGAATCGGCTGCATGCAGGGCAGTGTCTCAAGGACCTGAGTTGAAAAATACTGTACTACAATATGCCTTGGAAAAAACATTTGGTTAAATTAACATTATTCTTCAACCTATAAACACCTGCAGGGTGGATAATGCCTTCCTCGTGAGTCTGGTGGGACTGAGACCAGAGAAATTCTTCTGGCTTGGGCTGTCAAATCAGATTAACATTGACGTTTTTTCATGGACTAATGGAGAATTTGTGAGATTTACTCACTGGAACGCTGGGATGCCAGGTCTGTAAAGTTTCAACAATAAAAATTCAAAGCACACGCAGCAGCCCAACAAGTTGAACCAGACTATTTGTTCCCCTTTAACGTTAAGGTCACCGACAAGGCTGTGTTGCCATGGGAACTGGAGTTTCAGCTGGACTCTGGGATGTGCTGCCCTGCACCAATAAAGAGAAATACATCTGCAAGCACCTGGCTGAAGGGGCAGTGTCAACAGATCCTCCCCCGACTCAAACTCCCCCCCAGTGCGCAGATGGCTGGAATCGAGTGGGAACGAGAAATGTCTGCTCTAAGGTACCAGTTTAGGCCAAATCTGGGGCAAAATAAATGTAATTTTTCTACTTGTAGCAAAACTACATGCCTCTGAGCTCTGCTGGTATCTTGTCACAAACATTTGGACAAATTCAGGCATCAATGATTAGGCAAGCATTGATGACTACAAATGTCAACCTTTTTCTAATGACTTGCTGTTGACTATGCACAAAATTTTACATCACTAACATTCCTTATCTTGTCAAGTTTTTCACAGGGCCTCGTTCGGCCGAGAAGACCTGGTTCGAAGCCAGAGATTACTGCAGAGCCATCGGAGGAGATTTGTTGAGCATCCACAGTGCCACTGAGCAGATGGTGGCGCGGTAAGTAGTTCATCCTCTCTTAGCATTGAAGCTGTCTTCTAATGACTTGACAGGGAAGCCACATCAGATGTAAAAAGGAGAACTTAAGATAAGACATGCATAATATTAAATTATCTTGTTAATGTATGTGAGCTGAACAAGCATTCTGAGCTTCACGGAGCCAAAAATGTGTGAAATGTTTAACGATACACTGTTATAGGTTGTGATACCTTTAGACCAGTGCTACCCAACCTTGGTCCTCAGGGCCCACAGTCCTGCTTTGTTTTCCATGTTTTCCAGCCAAAACACACCCTGGTTACCTCAGGGTGTAACATTCGCTATTGTGCACACCACTCCTCTATGTACATTGTGATCATTCTTTTCCTTCTACACTTACAGAGGTGGAAAAGCTTGGATTGGACTTCATGTTGATGATCCAAATGCGGGTTATGTATGGAGTGATGGAAGCCCGGTCAGTTCACCCAGTTCTGTTCCTAAACATTCTCTGATTCTTGTCTCAGTGAGTAAGAGTATGTAAACATCATCTTTCTTTTTTTTTCCACTTACAGCTAAATTTTCAGCACTGGCAGGAAGGGGAACCAAACAATTACAATAACGCAGAGACTTGTGTTGAATATGTAATTCATAGCTGGGGTGAGCAAGGCTCGTGGAACGATCTCAACTGTGAAAGTTACAACGACTGGCTGTGTCAGATTCGTGCAGGTAGAGTGGAGAAAATGTGATTTGCCTCTTCTGAAGATATACATCTTAAAAAGTGGCACCCTTTTTGTACACCACTAGTCCCTGTAAAACACATATCCAACAAAGACGTCCTTCATGGATTTGATGCATGTTCACAAATGATAATAATAAAAAAAGAAAAAATCTAAATAGCCAATAAATCAGATAGCAGACTTTTCTTGATTTGATCACTTTTCATACCTGGTTCAATAAGTTTCTTTGAAATTTAGGACAAAGCCCTTCCAATCTTCAAGTACATTCATAACAAGACTTCCATTTTAATGCACTTTCCCATTTTCTGCCACTGATAGACCCAATAACAGATATTTATATTTATATATTTTAATTTACTTGTATTAAAACTGCTATTGGTAACTGATATTTTATATCTATTGCTGTTACAGGAGTAACTCCAAAGCCACCTCCCAACAATACAGCAGTCGGTAAGTTATAAAGTACAAACCAAATACAACCCAACACTCAGATGTTAAATTGCGCTCCCCTAAAATGTTCCATGGCTTATTCTAAATACGACAGGAAAGAGGAAATTACAATAGTCCTGGGAATTGTCTTTGTAATGAATTAATCTTGCAGAAATACAACTTAGCACATGTTGTGTTCCACAATCAAGTCAAAACAGAAACTCAAACTAAGACATTAAAATGTTTCTGAAACTCATATTTCCATGCATAATCCTTCAAATTTCAACAGACTTCAATGTAACTCAAGATGGTTGGCTTGAGTGGAGAGGAAAACAGTATTTTATCAACAGAATGTCTAAGTCCATGGAGGAGGCTCGTCACTTCTGTCATGCGCGGCACAGTGAATTAGCAACAATCAACAGCAAAGATGAAAACACTTTCATTTGGAAACAGGTCAGCTTTTTTCAGATTGCAAAGAAACCTTTTCAGGATTTGACAAACAGGCATCGTCATACATGAAAAACACCTGAAGATTTTAGCAGGAGAGTCAAACTTTTTTGTCTTTTTTGTTCTTCTGTACAGATATCCAGAAGCTACGGGGCGTTTTATATAGGTTTGTACGTGGAACTCGATGGATCATTTTGGTGAGTCTCAGTAATTGAACTGTCTTCTCACTCTGTTGTCCTTATAAAACCTCAAAATGTCATAACAAAGGGTTAAAAATTAGACAGAGGAGTGTAAAAGATGCGATAGATCTCTGCATATGGAAAACTAAAACGTATTCACGGCTGGTTCTGTGGCACTCTGTCAACAGCTCTGAACCAGGAGTGGCTAAAAGAGGATCATAAATTTGTATTTTTTGTTTGGCAGCATTAACTGTCTTCCCATATCATTTCATTTCCCTGTCTTTAGTACTCACCAAATGGCAAAAAGATAGAGAAAGTCCATTTCTATTTTATTATCACATGTTAGAATTTAAACAACCTTGTCCGTTTTAAGGTGGATGGATGGCACCCCTGTTTCATTTCAACGGTGGGATGAAAATCAGCCGAGTTCTAATGTCTTTGATGAGAACTGTGTTTCCATGACCTATCACATGGGTGAGAGAAAACCTCCATGCACTCTGTTATCAAATATAAACTAACCTAGCGGAGAAGTCTGAATGAGATTACTACACTGCTCTAAGATGTGCATGTTTTGTTCCTCTCTTACAGGTTTCTGGCACACTTCTAACTGTGGAAAAGAAGTTCAGTCCATCTGTAAGCGGTCATCCTCACCAGTTGTGAACACCACCGCAGCTCCAACAGTTGCTCCCAAAGGCGGCTGCGTACCCCCGTGGACTAAGTTTGGCAAAAAGGTCAGAAATCACCATCACCCCATAAACCGAGATGATATCTTGAAATCCATCAATCAAGAAAGAAATTAATTTAAAGAAATTGTATGGATTTGTTTTCTTGAAATATTAAGCAGTGATAATTCAATAGCTTTGAAAACAAAGAATACAAAACAAAAAAGTAATAACTGAATATTTACAGTGTTACTTAATAAGTGAACGAAAGACAACCTGGGAAGAAGCGCGGGCTCAGTGCATCACAATGAGAGGAAACTTAGCCTCTATCCCCAAAAGACAAGTTCAAGGTTTGCTCTCTTCATTTCTGTACATTACACACCAGTGTGTTTTTCTGGGAAAACATTAGCTTTTTCACACAAAACAGAATACAAAACATCATACAACATTTGTGGAGAGGCCAAAGTGATGGAAGTGACCTGTTTTCCTTTTTAATCCGTGTAAATTGCAGCATTTTTTACCACAAAAATGGCAGATTTATCAACCACAAACCTGTGGATTGGTTTGAATAGTATAAGACAGGATGGATTTTACTGGACTGATGGAGCAAAAAGGGACTACACCAACTGGGGTTATTCTGTAAGTATGCAACACACTAGTTTAGTAGTTTAATGTTTCATGTCAGGTAAATTCATTCAGTGAGTGAAACTCATTGAAGTAACTGTCATGTTTAAAAAAATCTCTCTCTTTAGAAAAATCAACGTCGCCCAGGAACATTTTATCAAAGATGGGACGAGGTATAAATCTGACTCATTTTTCTCATCAGAATATTGTCTCCTCTAAAGTCCAGTTGTAAATGAAAACATATTATTTTCTCTAACTAGAGTGAGTGTGTGCTGATGAACACCAATACAGCTTTTGGGTTCGGTAAATGGTGGATAAGATCTTGCAATGACACCAACGGCTTCATCTGTCAGAGGAGTCTGGGTGAGTTCATTCTTCTCCTGCTTTAAAAGCTGACTGAGGCTGAAAATGTGTAAACATTAAGACTCTGTTAAGTGAAATAGCCCCAAATTTAAAAGGGATTCATCGCAGTGCTATTCCCAAACTTTATGCTGGGTTCTCATACACTGGAAAGAAAATCAATAGTCAATATCAGGAATAATGACATTATGTTATTTCCTGTTTGACGCTGTTTTTGTACTCAACAGACCCATCTATCCCGGATCAACAAAGTCCAATAGATCCTTTGATCTATGTACGTTTGGGAAATGACAGCATCAAGGCTGTGACTCAAAATCTGACCTGGGATGAAGCCCAGAAACACTGTAATGGTGACAAGGCCAACCTGGCCAGCCTAAGAAATGAGTGGACGCACGCACATGTTGAGCTGCTGGCTCTCAATCTAAAAGCTCCTCTGTGGATTGGACTTAACAAGCAGAAGGTACAGCCCATGTGGTCATATTCTTTTCATAGAGTCTTATCACTAATTGAATGAATAAGTTATCAGTTGAATGTGCTTAGATTTGGAATAACATGAGTTTAAATGGGTGCGTAGCAATGGATTTATTTTGGCGTCATGCTTGAAACAGCTGAAAATGTTTTTGTACGACAGCATTTGATCCTTTCTTGCTTTCAGACTGACGGTTATTTTAAGTATGTTGACGGCTGGCACATGAGCTCTGCTCACTGGGCTCCGCTTGAACCGAGCAGCGACAGACCTTGTGTGTACATAGATGTGGACGGAAAATGGAGGACCGCGCTCTGCAACCAGACCATGTACAGCGTTTGTTTGCAGTCGACAGGTATTCCCACATTTCTGAAACAGCTGCATTGTGAATGTCGCAGCAGTTAATTCAGTCTAATTTCAATGAAATTAAAAACTACAACAAAACATTAGATGAACAGAATTTTCCAATAATAGTTTTATATATCTATTGGAAAAAACAACAACAACCTGTATATCTTCTATCCAATTGGATAATTAGTATGTTCTGGTAATAACAATGTGATTTTCAGCAAAGATTATGTTGATGATTAAGTCACGGTATATTTTTTTCATCAGCCGTTCACCCAGACTTCGTCTGGACCGCCGTCAAAAAAATTAGTTTGCATTGTCCCTCTCGCCGTCTTTCACAGATTTACCTCCACCTGAGTCGACCTCGTTCCCCGGACGCTGCCCCGAGGATACTAACGTGGAGTATCAGGAGAGTTACACCTGGGTGCCCTACAGGGGCCACTGCTATTTGTTTATCACAGATGAGATTGAATGGGCAGATGCAGCAAGCAGCTGTGTTAGGCATGGTAAGAGACTCTCTGAAAATGGGCCCCATTTTTGATTAAGGATGAACGGTAGGGTCAGTTATTGTCTCCCTAATATGCATTTAATGATTGATGTTGTTTTCAATGTGAAGGTGGACTCCTGGCAAGTATTGAAGATCTTTTGGAGCAAGAGTTCATTAAAAGAAATATAGAAATGTTTCAAGACAGCCACACTTCTTTCTGGATCGGCCTGTTTAAAACATACAAAGGTAAGACTGCAATTTTATTTTTTCTTACTGAAAAACATGCAGAATGTAGAAAATGTAAAAGGCCAGCTCTCAATGAGAGAATCTTCTGCTTGCCACCAGGGAATTGGCTGTGGTTGGATAAAACAGTCATGGACTACAGCAACTGGGCTCCAGAGGAGCCAGATTCTGACTATGGAGCCATTCAAACCTCAGATGGGATGTGGAATTCAGGCCGCAGATGGCACGACCGATCCTACATTTGTAAAACACGCAAAGGTAAGATCACTTTCTGGACATTTCCCTCGTGTTCCAATGTTATTGTTGTGTTAATTAATCCAATGTTCTGTTATTGTTACCAAAACACTTTTATGTTATCTTTGTTGTTACATTGGAATCCACCTTTTATATGCAAATTTAGTGACTATAGATCTGAAGTCATCTCTCGGGAAACTGACTTTAGTAGACAATGCATCATCTCAACAATCTCAACAGTTTAAATATTAAATAGTTATGAAATATAGTATAGTTAAATGGTAACACAATAGGAAATAGTTATTATAGATTTATTACACAAATGTAAAATTTGATGATATTTATGATCTAATAACCATCTTGGGGTTTTCCAACAGTGTTGATCACAGACTCAGAGCCAAAAACTGGTAAGTTAAATCCTTTGTAAATTTGTGTTCATTAATCTCTTTATCTATAACAGTTTTTAGTTTAATCTAAAAACCATTCTGCTTTGCAGCTTTTAGAAATATTGATAAAAAAATGCTGTGTCAGATTCTGCTATGAAATGCTCAGACTGATCGTCTATGTCCTGACTGTGCAGACCGACATGTGGATCCAGAACGTGGCAGCCGGGCTCACACGAGTTTGATTGTTGTGCTGCTCATCACCATCATTTCCACGCTGATAGCCATTGCGTTCTTCCTCTACAAGAGGTCACCTCGCCTCATTCCCACCTTTGAAAATCCACTCTACTTTAACAGTGAACCAACTCAGCCTGATGTGGTAGACACCAACAAACTGATAGAGAATGCAGAAACTCCTGAACCCATTCTAACTCTCTGAGAATTAGTATCCCAAACTCATTTACTACATTCTGATGCTTTTTTTTCTGTTCTTTTTTGTTTTTCACTGCATACGGTACATATTCGGTTATTTAACTGTATATCATTAACTTTGAGTTTCGGTGGTGTTGGAAATGTATAACCTCATGAGAGAGAACAATTTTCGGTTTTAGTATGTCTCAGTGCATTTTTAAAAAAAGTTTTAACCAGAGAATGAATGTAAATAACAGTTACATGTGGTGCTCATATCCAAGATGCTGGTCATTGCTTGTACTCTTGAATTGCGTAAAACCTCACCACTTGTCACTGTAAAATAAATATTAAACCTCACACGTGACACCGTTCAAGTGTTTATTCACTAAGAAATGCTGTTAATGTGTGCAATAAAACTATCCACATCCTTTCAACCACGTAGATACTGCAATTCTACTAATTAGTATTTTGATGGAAAAGGTGAACTCTAGGAAATTAATTTTGCAAAGTTGTCTAGATTTTCTTTGATCTTGTATACTAATAGGGAAAAAAAATGTTTCTTTCTGTTTATTCATAGTAACCTTAGTCTCAAACCAAGGAGACTATAAATGATTCTGAAAGAAAACTCTTGAATTTGGTACCCGGGTCAAAAGATATTTGATCTGGAATATAACATTTTATGGAGGTTCTGTTCTACATGTGCAAAGGTTTAGCCAAGTTAATCCCAAGAACCAGCGATGACAGGGAAGACATCCTTAAATAAAATGCCACAGAATGACAATTTCGATTTTAATGAATTGTCAACGATAGAATGCATATTTTTTCAAAATTAACGTCTGAGTGCTGTACAAAACAATAACCAAAACAAATATTTAACGAACCAGAGTAAAGTACAGTCTCGTTAAATCAAAGCAGTCATAAACATTAGGTCTACCAAACAGTGTAACAGGCTCTCTGGTTCTCCTTACATTTACATAACAAGGCAATTATGAAGTATGTACAAATGCATAGAGATTGTTTTCAAGCAATATGTTTTATCGCAAGAAGAGACACAAGAAAATGCATAGAGTATCCAGCATATAGGTCAGTGTCACCATAAGATTATTCATGCTTGCAGACAGACTGAATACAAGTCAGTAAATATGCTCAAACACCATTTAAAAAAGTGGGAAGTGACTTCCATGTAGATTAATGTAGAAAAATAGTTAAGACTTTCCATACTAACGTATAAAGTAATTGAAAGGGAACCGCTGAATTAAATCAAGATTTACCAAATAAAACACACTGGGGGCCGGGGAGGATGACACAGTAAAAGACCAAAAAAAAAGAAAATTTATTGTTTTCCATGTTTGTTTGAAGGTTTGAACAGAGAACACATCTTTTTGTGTAATCAGAAAAGAACAGTGCAACAGCTATTGCTTAAATATTTGGGTAAGAAACAACGGTAATCTTACTTTTGCCCACAAACCAAAATAACGCTGCAAACCCAGACTTGTGATATATTGTACATCTGATGATGGATTAGCATATAGTAGCTCGTTCCCAAATGATTTCTGACCAGTAAGAAATTGTATAAGGTATTGTCTCCGTTGACACAGAGAGAACTGAGTTAAAAAAAAACAAAGTTCTATCCTACAAGTGTTTAAATCTTTTTTGTGAAGAAAAAAATTAAATAAAACAACGCTCATGCACGGGGCAAAGGGTAAAGCTGAAAAAAGAACCGCGAACAGTGTGCTGAGACAAAGTTCACTGGACAAATGACACGCTCTGCTTTAAACGACTTAGAAAATGAGCAGCATATAACTGTGCACCGACCCGTAGTAGAAACAACAGTCATTGTTGGTGAATGTATGGATCTCTGTGCCACTGTCGTGCTTCTCGGTCTCTGCCTCGATCCCTGTCTCTGTCCCTGTCCTTGTGTCTCTCTCTGTCTCGGTCTCGGTCTCGGTCTCGGTCTCGGTCTCTGTCTCGCTCTCTGGCGTGGTACTGGTGGTAGCCGTGGTGGTTGTGTGCCGGGTAGTGAGCTTTGTGGTGTGTCCGTGGCGGAGCGTGGTGGTGGGGGGGCCTCTGCTCCCGGTTGCGCTCGTTGTGCTCCTGCTCGTAGTCCTCCCCGTCGTGCGGCTGGCTGTTGCCGCGGTGATGCTGGTGGTGGTGGTGGTGGTGATGGTGGTTGCCGTTTCGATGGTGATGGTTATGGCCTCGGTGGTTATAGTGTATCTCCTCCTCGTCCCCCTCCCCCAGGTCCTCCGCCTCCTCCTCCCTCTCCTCCCTCTCCTCGTGAGGGTGCCTCCGTGAGACCCTCTGTGCGTAATCTCTGCTGGCCTGTATGTCGGCGCCAGCCGGGGTCTGACTGGGCTGGGTGTGGCCGTGGTGCTCCGCCCGGTGGTGGTGATGGTGGCGATGATGGTGGTGGATGTGCTGGGGTCTCTTTGGTTCAGTTCTCAGAGGCCGCTCCTCCACTTCCTCCTCTCTTCGGCCCTCTTCGGCTCTCTGCTCGTGAGCGGGGGCCGAAGGGGGCTCCTTCTCTGGGTGATTCTCACGGGAGCTCTTCCTCTTGGGCGCACCGGACTTCTTACTTTTCTGGTCCTCCTTCAGTAGAAAAAAAAGAGGAACAATAAAAGTCACCTGAAAAGTCATACCGTGCTGCATTCATAAAGTATGCTTTCAAATACTGAGAGCACACAAACAGATCAATATTAAAGTATTAGAATTGTAGTTAAGAGTAAAGAATTACAAAACCATGTCTTCTGAGGTGGTTAAACTATTAATTTGTTTCAGTTGAAAGACATTTTTTCAGTGATTTCAACAATGTGACGAAGCTAGTTTTAAAGTAGGACACAATCAAACTTTATTTTGTCTGTCCTATGTGGTGAGCAGCCTGAGATAATTTATTTTTCTAAAAAAAACTAATATTTTAAAACCTGGAAATACTCAAATCTGGAATTCATGTAATTCTCTTTAAGCGTGTCTCCAAACCTGAGCATTGTTACCTTAAAATTTAGTTAAGATCCCAATTAAGAATTGTTCTCTTTTTTTTATGGATGTGCATTTTCAAGTTACATGTACAGTTACATAGATATACACAAATGCAAAATCTTGGCAAGTTTTGCATCAGTTGATTTTTTTTTGTATTTGACAAGTGATAACAAGCGTCTAGTCTAAAGACATGACTCAGATAAGTCATTTCTGGCTCTTCATTCATCTAAATGGTCCTCATTACTGTTTTTATTCTACTACATTATATTACACTCACCAGTCAAAGGCCTATCTCACTTCTTCCTCAACTTTGCAGAGTCACAGGATGAGAAGATGAAAATGAAAATGTTAGATGGAAACAAATACAGATGCAGCACAAGGTGAGCATAGACACATATTGATGATGTGCAGTTTATAGTAGTACCACATTTAGATGTAGGTCTGTACACATGACATGAGTGGGATGGGATGGGATGCAATGAGAGGGAGATTTTAAACATTTGTTCAGGATCTTTGTCCCCTAAGTGTTTCTGTGTTTAAGCACCGGAGTTGCAGTAGGACTGGCAGGCAGTGTGTTCTCAGCCAGCTGTGCCACCAGCGCATTTGCAGGTTCCATTTCCGGAGGGTGTGTGGCTCTCCAGTAGGACTCCAGGTAATCAGCAATGTGCTCACAGGCGTCTGTTAGCTGGTTCTCGTCTAAGATGACGTCAAACATTTCCTGTAAAAAAAAAATATATAATATTAAAAATGTTGGAAAAAAATAAGCATAAAAAGCTGGCAGAAATTACAATACCTGATCACAGACCATTAAAAGCATGGCGGACCTGAGGCATTTATACAATCACTTAAGCTTGAAAGCAGGAATGTCATGAAACAATGTCATTTCTAAAATGCATGATATGAATCATCCAACATGAATGCGTTGCAGTATTCATGTGACAACACATGAAAACTGCAACAAATTGTTTCAATGGTTTAAACCTTACTGGCTTAAAAACAGTGGCAAATAAATTAAACCGATTGAAAGATAAACTGAAACCAGTGGGAAAATAAACACAAGAAAAAGGGGAATAGCTTCCTTTTGAATTGTGGCTTAAAATATTTGTTGTCTATCATGTTTCCCTCAGGAGCAAAAAAGCAAAATATCTAGGCAATAATGACATTCTCCACTAGATGGCGCTCACCGGTGGACATTGGGCGAGCTTGTCCGCAGCCACAATCTGGACATTAAGATGTTTGGTCTGAGACTTCCCTCTAGTCTTTATGAGTCTCGTCAACACCTACACAAGCAGAGAGAACACAATCAGAGCTGAATTTGGGGGGGAAAATGCTCTTTGATTGACTCAGACTCCACAGTTCTTGCTGACGACACCAACTTTTGGTGATGAAATCTTCACATAGACGAGGATGGGGGCGAGGGAGGTCTTGGACACCTGCATAGGGTGGTTGACTGTGTCTGCGTCTAAGACCACCAGCTGCATACTGCGGGCCAGCTCAAAGATACGCTCAACCTCCCCCTGGATCTGAGCTGGAGGGTAGGTAAGAAAAAGTAGAAATTCAAATACTGTATTTTAATCATTATTTTGGTATAGAGACACTATCTAAAACAAGTGAAAATATCAAATTAAAGAAAAAAAAGGCTGATTTAACTGTCGCCAACGTATGAAAATGCATTTCGACAAATATCATACAGCTGGAATTGTCATCTTTCATTTGTCAGTGATTTGACATGCAAGTTTGAGGGCGTTTTTGTTGCATTATATAATTGTAACAAGAAGGAAGGCCTGGTAATTCTATTCTTTTAATAAAGCAAGATTAACTATCTCGATTCTTTAACTTCCAAAGCCCGGCACTTTTATATTGGTAGATACAAAGAGGAAGATTACAATAATTTTTATGTTTCTTCTTCAAGTACAAATGATAATATGTAACAAAATATTCAACAAGAAAAATACAGTGATTCCAGATTGATTGTAGTAATTGGAGGAGTAATTAAAATATTTGCCGCTAGAGGGAGAGCACAGATACGAGGTTATAACACTCACTCCTAACCACTGATGACACTAAGAAATCTGACAACCCACAAACACAATCCAAAATGTGACTGCATATTCAACAACTGAACAAGTGGAAGTCGATAAGAACTCTATGCAGAACATAAGAGTAAAAGAGCAGTGTTCATGAGGTATATGGGATAATCACATTAAAAAAAGACGTATGGGGAAGTCTCAAAAATCACAAGGACTACCAGTGCTTTCAGTCATACGTACCGGCAGCATCTGGGATGAGACAGCAATGAGAGAGACAAGAGTAGAGAAAACCAAGTAAATCGTATCCCCTCTCTTTCTATACAAGTCATTCCCTATTCCAAAAAGTGGTCACGTATGGGGACTGAATAGTGATTGGGGAGATGTATCTGACTATTCTGCTATACATTGTTGAATTGGGAAATAAAGGAGTTTCCTGGGAAAAATTTGGCCATAAAAAATTAAAAAATAATTGGCTTTTGTTTATTCTGGCTACTGCTTAAAAATATATATATATCGGACTGAGTGCTGGGAAATCCTATGCATAAATGTGATAATTTGACTTTTCCTGTCAGGGAAAAATCGGGAACTATAATAACAACTATAATAGGCACGAATGACAAGATGGATTGGAATGAAAATCTTTACAAATACGTCCGTCCCCACAGGTAAAAATGTAATCACATTGGTGTCTTAGGACTTTACATACTGTGTTTTTCATCTCTTTAATTCCACTGGTTTTACCGGGACACATCACCATTCATTTTATTAAACTGATTTAGACTTTATCTTGCTGGATCTTTCACAGCATCTGGCGACACACACTCCTGCTGTAGATCTCCTTCATATCAACAACGTTGGACCTTTTATTTTTACTTTCAAGAGCTCAATTTGCATGTTTTTAACTGGCACCCAAATGGCCACTTTAGTTCCAAAAGCAGCGCAGTGCTAAAGAGGATGCCTGCAGGCAAAAAATATGACACACTTTTGGAGCTAAAGACAAAGCCATGTAATTGTCTTTGTGTGATTAGCAACAAAGAAGCAAAGAGAGAAGTCCCATGTTAGCTAGCCTGCAGTGTAATTTCGTATTTGATTCCTAAAATACTTCCTGCTAATATACTTGACCAGTCACTTGATTGACCAGTCACTGATTGGAGAGCTGGCTGCAACCATCTTGAATAATTTCTTGGGCAATACTCTCAAAATGTCAAAGTTGTCCATCAATCCATTTACTTCTGCTTTTCTGCTTCTCTAAGATTGGTTTGGGGGCTCAACATCACAGAATCAGAATGAGAATCGGTACCAGAAATAATCCATCATTCCCTGGGAGGGGGGGCATTGTTTGGGTCACAGGTGCTGAAGCCAGAATTTCAAAGGGGATAAGTGGTGTGATAGAACCACAGAAAAATGTGCACTGAGGTGAAATGCAAAAAAAAAAAAAATCTGAATAAAAAATCCATATAATTATACCTTAAAAAAGTGTAAAAGATTTAAATAATATAAATTAAATTAATATAAAGATATATGCAGTAAAGTCTACATGCTAGCAAAATGAATATCTGACACAAACAATTTGCCACAATATTTCTTCCTGCATTAACAACTGCCAGTCCTCCTTGGGGACTCCAGAGCAAATGGGATCCATAATGACTGGAGCAAGTTCTGGATCCACCACAGTGTCTGTTAACAACTGAGCATGTCTAGAAAATATCTCAAAGGAGGCAGGAGCCAACTTTGTTACACTTCTGCTGGGTCCTTTTAACGGATGGGGAAATTAGGTACTCTGCTCAGCGGGCACCAAATCCACAAAAAGCCTCCGTGTAGCATTTTAAAAGATAGGCCTTGACATATGACCACAGAGAGGCCAGGTAAGCACAAATCAATTTTGGTCCTGGCTTTCATACACAGGCCTGTTTGGCTCATACCGCATGCATTTGCCAGGAAACCAAAATGGTTTCGTGGTTTACACCAATAAGCGTATAAGTGCAGTGTGCTGCGATAAAAAAAGGACAGGTCAGACACCTTCATTTCAAACCTTAGTCAGATGGCAACAATTCAAATTAATTAGAGTTCTTATTCGGTCAAGTTTGTCGTAAGGGGTGCTAAAGGGCCAGAAAGCAATTATTAGAGATCATTCAGAGATTGATTTATCAGTCTTTCTGGGAATGAGACTGTTTCAGTGGTCTCGATGCTGTAAAGACCCACCATTTTCCTAAAATGAAAAATAGCTGTTGTGGGTAATTAGCCGGCACGACTGCAGGATAATGAACCACATACCCAAATTAGAGCGGGTGTTGGATCGGTCCATTAAGGCCTTTTTGCCAGGGTTATTGAGGATAGAGCGTTTAGCCAAAGAGATGTCGGCTGTGACTCGCGTTATGGTAATCCTGGAGAGGGGACAAAACAACAGACATTGTTTTCCAGTCGTGACATTCATTACAGTTTGTACAGTGTGACTGACGAATTAAATCGGAACTTACCTGCCTTCAAATCGATGTTTTAAATAATCAAACAGTGCTTTTTGCATCATGTCAGTTACCTAGAATTATACAAAAACAGGGATTTTAATTCCTGAGTAAAAAAAAGTGTCTAGCCCTGAAAATTATTCCTAAAAGGCTATTTCCTAAAAGGCAATCCAACACCAAACAAAACTCACCTCTAAGCCCTTCAGCGACGGTCCCATTAGAACCACAGGACGCATTGTAGGCACTACATCATACATGGCCACCTGCTCCCCCTGTAGCCACCAAGGATGAAAAGGAGATTCAATTGACACTTTCAAATATCTGCTTTTACATTTATGCATCAAACAACATTTATGCTGTACAAAGGTATTGAAATAGCTCAGAAGCAAAGAGCACATATTGGTTTCAGTAATCCTTGTCAATTAGTTCCCTCCATCATAAACCTGATCATTTTTCTTTAGGAATCAGGCATGGAAAGGCACAGACGCAGAGCTGTTGCTCTTTTCACGGCACTGTTAATCACTGTGAAATCTACCATCGCTGTACTGACATTTGACAGAAGGGAAATGTGGCTGAAGATGAAATCACACTTTGATTATTTCAGCCCATTCTTACGCAAAACCCCACAAAACATTGGTTTTTCAAAACGTATTGATCCTGAACTAATAATTTGGAAGTAACTAATAGTGGTTACTTTGAAGGCCAAATAAATACAAACCATCAGTGAAATTAAGATCACCAACTTAAGGCAGTCTTTTTGAGTTGTGATCAATAAATCACTAAAATGACAAAAACTCTGCCTCAGCCTTTCAAAAAGCAAAAAAAAATTAAAGAAATCCAGTAAATGATGTGTGTTGCATGAATTTTTGTGTGGTATTTAAGAAGTAAAATGAAGGTATTGAAATGTGCGATAAAATGTTGAAATCTTGAAACATTAAAACAAACATTGAAAAGAGACAAGAATTTCTAACGCACTTACCGGTTTCTTTTTCACCTGCTGATTAGCTGTTCACCCAAAAGAACAAAGGAAAATGTTCACTCAGAGGTCATCTGAGATGGAGAGTATATTTTTCACCTCATTTAACACACAAACTGACCTTGTGAAGGAGGAGTGTATTTCTTTGAGTTCATATCTGCTTGAGATGCTTGAGATGCTGCTTTGCTGAAATGAGAAATATTTCTTTATTAGCTTGCTTTTATTTCACCAGATTTTAGTGCTGCTAAAAACAGATTGCCACCTGTACAAGGCCTAAAATATTTCATTCTCTGAGACAGAATACTTTCTATCTTAGGACACAAGGGTACATTATTCACAGGGTAAATTATTAGATTAATCTTCCTCACTTGCAACCATAATAAACATTCTGAGATCCTGTAATTACTTTGTTTTGTTGTTCTATAATATTCTAATTAAAGAGTGAACTCGATCTTGTGATCTTATTGAGTGGGTTTTGTAGCCCACTGGGATGATCAAAAACCAATAAATAGCTAAATCTATGAAATCATACATTGGAAATATAAACTATAAATCATGCATCTGTTCTAATGTGACCGTAATGTGGATGGTCACAAATGGATCTATACATCACAATGTTTGTATCCACATAAAAGTATTGGGAAATGTGGTTAATATCCTTCTATTAATATATTTTCATATTTTCATTGGTGCTGGTGTTGTGGATCTATGTGGGACGTAAAGCATAATTATAATTTTTGTATAATCAATAGTAATTTTACTCCTCTCAATTTAGACTCGGGATTTATCCCACATGCTAAACCGCAGATCACGCAGTGTTGATTTTTAGGACATTTAAGCTTTTATCCATATACTTGGCGTGTGGATTCTCAGTGATGTCTCATGAGGTTTTATCCCCCGCATACACCTGTTGTTACAAAGCTACATCATTTTTAGCTTTGTAGCAGCTCGTCTTGTCCTCATCTGTAAAATTTCCATCTGCAATCAGTATGTCTTCAATGTGAATGTTTGGGTTAAAAGGATGGCCCCGAGCAGCGCGCTGCACATACTTGGCTAAAGCTTTGGCAGCTTTCCTCGCCTGGACTTCCCTTCGGATGAGAATGGTTTCCAGGTTGACCGGACTCGGGACGAAACCCACCACACCATCCTCTTTCACGGGCCGTCCAATCCACCATTCGTTGTTAAATTTCTGGGCATCGAACAGCGAAATGACAAACAGCGTGAATTAAAAGGTGTTATCCTTATTTGGCAGCCATATTGCAATCATCAGTACTGATTACATTTTTTGTGCTTTGTGTCTCAATGATAAAAAAAAAGTGATAACGTCTTTCTAATAACATCATTTAACAGCTACGGTCCAACTCCTCATGGCTGGTCAGCATCTCGTTCATGCTAACACCAGCTGCCCCGCGCAAACCATGTTCTTGTGATAACATTTACTTTATATAAACTTCAAATAGTGTGTCTTTTTTTTGGCTGTTCAGACCTCTTTGACGTGCAGGAAGTCTCTAGCCTCGAAGGTGACGGCCTGGCCCGGCACGGGGACGTTGTCGTCGTCGGCCGGCGTGTAGGAGAAGTTACAGCGGACGGCGAATGCCACGGGCTTGTACTGGGAGCACAACGCAGGCATTACATACAGTCAAGTTAAACTCTCCTGACACCAGCACAAAAATAGCCCTAAAGCAGTAATAACACACATATAATACACAGCGAAATCAATTTTACGACTCAATTTGGTGGCAATATAATGGCTTGTTGGCATTAAATGTCTTTTGTGAGTGATGGTGGTCCTCCAGAAATTATTATAACAGCAAAGACGATACTGGTTACTTGCCATGCTGGAAGTTTGAGTAAAATTACATAAAATATATGGCTGTCCTGTTATCACAGGGGTATCATTATTAAAAATACAAAAACATGCTTCCTGCTTAATCTATATCTAGCTGTAAAGTTCCTCGCAGTGTTTAAATATATTATGAACCGTGTTTAGAGCTAGTAGCTAAAATTTTGTACAACTGGATCAGTACAGCCATTGCAAAACTTGCTGTAAAACCTTGTGACTTTCAGAAATGGGAACTGTTTGACAACCCTGAATAAAACCCTTCTGTCTATTCGGCCTCTCAGCAGGGACGCTGCCGCACGCACCCCCGCCGACCGGAGGCCCGTTGGTGATGTATTCCTAACAGAGTTAAATGTCAGCGGAGTGCCAGTCAACCCGCTAATTACTCCACCTTGGAGAGATGAGACTGGGAGGTCAGCGGGGGACAAGCCGCCTATATTTTCCGCCTTAATTGCAAAGCACCAGAGATCGTGCGTGAAATCTGTGGAGGAGGATTTAATTCAATATTCAACAGGACGAATCAGCAGGAGCTGCTTAACAGGTGAGGATAGCAGAAGTATGATCCCGGCTGTGAGCAATCATACGATGCCCTTCATAGTCATTATGCATCCAGAAAAGAGTCTGCTTCACCATTTGTATATGAGAATCAATGATAACCAGGTCTTTTCTTCTATTTATTTGATTTATTTTACTTTATTTTATGCCAATAAAGGCATGACACAAACAAAAAATGGGATATATCTCATTTTGACAGTAATATGTTACTGCACACCCTGACGCTCGTTTGCTGTATTTGATGTACTCGTGTCCTTGGTAACAGCTTCTCTTAAATATATCCCTGCCCAGGTTGTTGTGGGTCAGGTCATGTTTCAGCGGCGCAAAGGTACCTTGGCCTTTTCCAGCTGCACCTGAGCGTTTCTTTCCTCAACGACATCCGAGTCCTGACGCTCTCCCTGCAGGAGACAAAGTTACCATACAGTATTACTTCAACACAAAACTCAACTGAAATGCAAGAAACTCTTATCACCAAACTTCATATCACTGTCAGCAGTTTCTTCAAGACTGACTTGAAGCCGAATGTTTTTAAACCTGCTGGCATAGTTCAGGCTATTATTGCACATTACAGCTATGGCTTTTGGTATTCATATTGTTAAAATTGTTTGATTATTGAACTTTTTGGGATTTTTAGCAGTTGTTCAATGAATGGGAAAGACATCCAGACATCAAGTTCTTTTTAAAAAATGTACCTTTTTCCTCTCTAACTATTTCTGCAAAGTTTAAGATAGAAACATCATTCAAAATCTAAACGGCTTCCATTGTATTGAGCTATAACCAGACTTTTTAATGTAAAATATTGATCTGTTTTTTAAATATGACATTTTCAAAGTAAACATTTTGCTCCTTGATTGCTCCAGTGATTGTGTGTTGGGCTAAATTAGAATGAATAGATCAAAGGAGTCCCATTAAACACTCCAGCATTTTCAGCACGTCTCACGATTCAGTCTTTCCGCTTTTCAGCTTTTTCATCGTCTTCTGGTCCAGTCATTCAGCAAATTGGCATTCTCTGTAATGTTTCGTAGTTGCTGGTATGTATTGCCTTTTCTATTTTTGTTTGTGTTTTAGCTGCAATTTTTTGTTTTGAAAACAGATTAACTTTCTTTACACTGATATTTTTACCTTACTCTTACCAATCAGTCCTCATGTCTAATTTATGAGCAAAGCAGATGGCATTTTCCTTTGTAAAATTAATGAGCATAACCCTATATCCCTGGCTGTGGTCCAGAAGACTCAGGGCTCTTATTGGTGTTATATATTTACATTAAGCCAAAGTCAAACAGCAATTTCACTGGTGCGTGGGATTAAACAGATTTTACTGTCTGCTTCACTTGAAACATATTTTACTAACAAAAATAAGAGCATGAATCTCAACACTATGCCTCATCACCTATTTATTACATAAGATTTTTTATTCAATTTAAAACACCAGGTTCTGCTAAGTCTGACTCAGTATTATATGTGATACACATTACAGATAAAACGAGATCATACAAATATCACAGTATTGAGAAAGTTTCAGTCAGCTTGAATAAATTAGAACACTAATCATGGATGGCCATTTTCCTTACAAAACTAGCCAGATTTCCAGGCACACTGACATAACTATAGTGTTAAGCTGTTGACTTCACACACTCTTCTTGATTTGCTTTGACATTTTTCTTCATTAAAAAAAAGAACGTTTTGATTTTTCAGAACGTTTTGATTTTTCTAATTTGTTGCTGAGGATCCCTCCCGTGATGTTTGACTTTTTTGTGACACGTGTCCTTGACATTTGGTTTTCTCCTCAAAGACATAGGGATTAGTGCCTTCTGAGTCATAGCCAAAAGAAGGGCGAGCCTCCAGCACCAATCTGGTGCTCGAGATACACACTTAAATCCCCACAAATCAGCTCACTAGGTGCAGTGAGCCAATTCATGGTGCATGGATACAATTTCACAAAAAACATTCTCTATTCTCATCTTAAATGTATTGCTTTCGTGTTACAATGATTTATGATTGTTACAGGCATTCCTTTTTTCTTTTTACTTTACAGTCCGTTCGTATCGTTACAATAAAATGTTTGCAGACTTTTGAAACAAGCAACAAATTAGAAAACTGGAATTTAGGCAAAAATGTCAAAAATGTGAGTATACAGTGTCCATACGCTGAATAATAGCAAAAATATTCACTGAGTCAGCATTTTGGTAACCTGGCTTCACAACTCTCTGGCAACAGGAAGATATCAGGTGGTGTCAGTGGAGCATGGCAGAGTGGAGCGCTCCGATCTGTAGCCGAGCCAGGACAACACAGCAAAGATTTGGTTCAGCTGAATGAAGCAACAATCTGCTTTACTGCTGAGAGTTTTGCCACAAAATGTTCTGATAGTTCCATTTCTGGCAGGAAAAGCAGGCAGTGATGGTAACTTCGAACCCCAGGTCAGGTTTTGTAGAACGTTTAAATGAATAATCTGAACTTAACTCTCAAAACATTAGATCCGTCAAGCTCAGCTTAACTGATCCTTCTTTGCATAAGTCCCAACTCAAAAAGAAATCCTAATTTTTCTTCTATTGCCATAGATGCAGGCCAACTAAGCTGTTTCAGCTCCTCTTTGAAAATCTGTTCCCTTTGCTTAAAAACTATCTTTATGAACACTGATGGTTTGTAATAAGGTTATAGAATCTAAACTAAAAACTTTGTTGGAAAACTTTACCTGAATCCTGAACAAATAGTGCAGCCTTTCTGATACAAGACAAAAGGCAAATGACAAGGGAGTTTGAAAATCCAAATCAAACCATACAAGAAAGATGAGGATGAATTGAAAGGAGCGAGTGGTAAATCAATATTGACTCCAGGCCAAATAGCTTTCAAGATAGGTGGGAAAGAACAAACTTGTTATTACACCTATAGTATAGATGTCCAATATTTTTGTTTATATTTAAGTGCCAGATCTTTTTAAACTTCTCAAGTATTCAGGCCTCTGAATTATACTTCTTGAATAGAAAAAATGTTTAAATTGAAAGTAGGACAACTGCACTCTATACAGCCAGTGTGCTTTGCAGGTTGAGCCCACAACTTAAGTAAAAAAAAAAGTGCCTTCATATAAAGACAAGGGAGAGAAATTAGACTTGGGACAATTAAAGCAAAGTATGCACAAAAGAAACTGTGGAGAGCATTCAAAATAACGAGGAGAGAATCACAGAGGAGAAGGAAGTGAATCTCCTCGGGGCGTAATTATGCCCAGGCATGGGTTTTTTTTGTTTACCCATGCCTGGTGTAGACATCTGTTCGCACAGCATCCGCCTCTCCTGCGAGCCAATGTTACCAAGCCAACGGTACAAAACGCCCCCGCTGAATTATTAAACAATGCTGAGCCACTCCAGGTGATGCAGGTCTTGCTTTGATGGACAACATAAAACTGTCACAGATCCCAATTTATCATGTGAATATTAGATAACCTTCTACTTTCTAACCGTCTTTTGCAGTGCAGCATGGTTTCATATAAATGTCCCAGGAAACTCCTTTCGTGCCTAATCATCATCAGTTATTCTCACTGTGAATTTATCTGACACTATATATAATTATTTGTGACACTCTTTTCATTGAGGGTCTTTTGTGATCACAGAATAGAGTTATTTAAATGGTTCCATCAGATGACACCAACACCTCTGATCAATGTTTCACTTACAGTGTTTTGATGAAACTTTCTCTCATCGTTTCAAATACCTGCTCCTCTGCTCCCTCTGTCTCTGAGCCGAGCCATTACTGTGATTATTTGTCTTTAAGGTAGAGCAAAGGAAGCACAGAGACAAGGATATTGTGAAAAAGAGAGCCATGTTCTCTCGCGGGCTCCCTGAAGGTGACTCTTACTCCCGCTAAAAAGCGTTTACACAGCTCTTTCGTCACACGCCAAAAGGGAGTGCATTAGGAAAGAGGGCTCTGATTGGGGAGACTGACGCTGAACCTAAATTGGAGTTAGCACAGCCACTCACCAGGAGCCAGCTGGCTCGCCCGGAGCCCTGCGATTCCCCAGAGGACAAACTGAACTGTGGACTGAGCTATGCCTGTACCCGGCATAGCTCAGCTCCAACTCAGAAGAAATGCATAGTACAAATTATTTTGGGGTATCAGTGGAGCGCACTAACCTCAACTCCTCTGACTGTTTTACCCTACTATAAGAACCAAAGTCCAAAGTCTGATAACAGGAAGTTAAACAACCAGGAGAGAATTGAGCTACGATTCAAAATCCTGCTTAATATTTGGTCTATTTGAATGGCAGTTGGTTCACATCTCACAAAACAGATATGTGCAAACAAGACTAACTGGTTGAACCTTTGATATCATATTATATTTTTTTATATCATTTATAAGCTTTATCTAACAAAAAAAAAACAGAGACCAAAGATGATATTTTTCCTGAGAGCAGCATTCCACAACACAATTTTTAAATAGGAACATTTAACAAATACAAAATAATTATACAACATTTACATGTGCTAAAAACCTGAAATAAATTAGTCTAAAATGAGAAAGCACTACCAAATCCTAAAATCCAAAAAGATGTATCTTAAGGTTAAGCCCCCTGTGTCTTACAGAATCTGGCAAAATCAATCTCTTTGATAATAATTTCATGGACTTCTTCCTATTTTCAATATAAAATACATAGGAATGTGAATATGAAACAAAGTAAACAAAGAATTTGAAAGTCTACATGAAGACTATGCAGACCGGTCAACACAAGCAAACAACAAGGAGTGTGATGATTCAGACATTAGTCATCACCCTGACGGTGCCAGACTGTGAACTGCAGAGTTTCTGAGAAAGAAAAAAAAGATACTGAGAGGTGTTGAAGTGGTCTTCAGTCACTTGACATGAACAAAACAAAGCATTTTTGGCTTAACCATCATTCTCTAACCTTCACTAGTTTTGACTTCCCGAGCTGGACCAATTAAATCTTTACTTCCTTAATCAGCAGAGGAAATCCATTTCTATTTTTTGCTCACAGATACAAATGCGTCACAGAAGCAAGTACCCTCTTAACACACATCCTATAAATACTCAAAGATAGATGGAGGGGTGGTTTTCAGAACAATTCTTTTGAGCTTTATAGTGTGGTTTGGCCTTTTTCCATTAGAAAATAGAGTATTTTGTCATAACAATTAAAGCGATCAATGGCCAGATCCTAGCCTGTCTGATGCGGTAAAAACATATCATTCCTTTCATTAAATAATTTAAAACTCTCTGGATGCATCTCCTATAAAGTTGAACAGATTATTAATGGCAGAATATCTTCTCGCTGTGGTAGAGATGCCCGGCATCCTCTTTTCATTTTCTTCCTCTACTGTACTATAGTAAACAGTTTATGGTTGTGTGTTCAAAGATAATATTCCAGCTGCACACTCTCTCCACAAATGGGGAG